CAAATTGGCAAACAGACTCTCCCACAAAGCAGAAGAAGGCTTGATTCAGTGCTTAGAGGAAACAATGAAGTTCATTTAACAAAGCCAACATTTAATGAACTCCAAACAATACACTTCAAAAAATAAGTTCATAGAGCAGCCTTTTAAACTATAATGCACACGTACTAGTTTTATTTTGAAAATACCATCTAGTCACTTGGTAAGAGTTTACTGGTTGGTCGTCATGATTCACCACCTATGTGATTTCTGAGGGGTGAATGAAAATGTTGATTGAAACTTTGCAAGCGACAACGTTTTTGTGTCGGGGCCAGCTTTCACAAATCATACACGACCTTCCAAAAGAACAGGTAGCTTCGATTGCCTGGCAATCACAGAAGAAAGATACAGGAGAGACAAGCTCACCTTTCAGACGAGTCTGCCACAACACCCTTCTTATGGGGCTCTTTCAAGATCCTGTGAAAACCTTCCCATCAGTTTTGTTTGTGTCTTATGAAGAAAGAGCAATGGGCCTCCCGGGGAGATGTTGCTTTTGGATCTCTCCCAGGGGCATCCCTCGGCTTCATCTTCATCTCAGGAAGGGGGGAGAGTGCTGGAGAGGAGAGGGGATGGGGTCAGGGAGTGGAATGGTGGGTAATTACCGGGAAAAAAATAGGAGCCTCCTACCTTTTATCAGAGCAAGTATCAAATACTATTTGGCCCAAGTACATTTTGTCCCTTTCTGTTTCTTATGCAAATGCAACATCTAGAAACAGCCTGCCACAAAAGTTGACTCTGCTTCCCGACTTCATTCAACCTGTCCTTGAAAGGAGTATCATGTACCTGATTGTTAGCTGGGTACCCCCTCCAAGAAATTGTAGGCGAGATTTTATCATTATCAGGCTTCTCTCGAAATCAAAGCACCTGTTCTTTGTGAAGGTGGGCTTCTAGAGAGAGAAATATTCCCACTAGAAAACACCCCGAGTTCATACGGGAACACCATTGACAGGTCCGGCCCAAAGATACCAACCTCAAACGAATAAACTTTAAGGCACCTGTGTTAAGCATTTATGCGTGCCGGGCACCATGTTAATCAATTTACATGTATTATTTTGTTAGGTCCTCGCAACAGCATAGGAGACAGGACGCCTATTTTATAGATTTGCATACTAAAGGCTTGAAAAAGTCAAGTTACTTGCTCAAGATCACACAGTTGAAAAGGTGGCAGAGCCACGACTTCTTCATTCTAGCACCTGTGCTCTTAGCTACATTATGCCAAGTTCAGCACCGATAACAATCATGTATACTGTGGAGCAGTGACCCGTTCCTAACAGGCTCTCCTCTTAGGATTTCCCAGGCAGAATTCAGCATACGGTGAAAGGCTTCCCTGATGCCCCGCCCCTATCGAGGAAAATAGGCTGTGTCTATGCAAACTGGTTTATAGTAGGCCCCCCTTAGCCACCTTATCCCCGGTTTCACTTTCCAAGGTTTCAGCTATTCGTGGTCAACCACATTCCAAAAATATTAAGTGGAAAATTCCAGAAAGAAACAATTCATAAATATTTTTATTTAATTTTTTAAAATCTTCACCCAAGATATATTTATTGATTTTGAGAGAGAGAGAGAGAGAGAGAGAGAGAGAGAAACATCCATTGGTTGCCTCCTATATGTGCCCCAACTGGGGATCAAATCCAAAACCTACATATGTGCCCTGACCAGGAATTGAACCCAAAACCTTTTGGTGTATGGGATAATGCTCCAACCAACTGAGCCACCTGGCCAGGGCAATACAGTTCATAATTTTAAATTGCTCGCCATTCTAAGAAGCTGGCTGAAATCCCACGCCATCCCACGCCATCCCACCGCTGACATGAATCATCCCGTGTCCAGCACCTGCGCACTGCACGCACTCCCTGGGCCCGCCAGTCACTTAGTAGCTGTTTATCAGATTGACTGTCATCATATCGCAGTGCTTGTGTTCGAGTCACCCTTATTTTTTTTAATAATGGCCCCAAAGTGCAGGGGTACAGATGCTGGCAATTTGCATGAAAAAGAGACACTGTAAAGTGCTTACTTTACGTGGACAGGGATAAAAGTATGAGAAAAAAACATAGTATATACTGTATAATGCTCGGTACTAACTGTGGTTTGGGCCATTCACTGAGGGTCTAGGAACGTGTTTCCCCTCAGATAGGAGGGGACTACTGCATATTTAAATTCTGAGTAACACTGTGTCATAGATATTATTGTATCCTTTCAGGAGAGGAGAAAAGTAAGGCTCAGAGAAGCTCAGTAACTTGCCCAATAGCACACCGCAAGGAAGTAGTAGAGCTGGGTCTGTCTGCCCAGTCTGGCCGTAAACTACCTCATAGCATCTCGTAGGAGCCTCTCAGACATTTCCGCTGGGAGACAGGAAAGGCCTTCATTTTCCTTTCTTTTTCACTGCAACCCTTTCCATGAGTGAATTCTTCCCTTCTAAGTCAGAGACAAGATGGGTCTGTTGACCTGCCTGGGCCAAGGCTGACTGGAAAGAAAGACACATTGAAGACGTGTGAAATGAATCTTCTTCAAATAGAAGCAAGCATCTCAACATACACAGAAGAGCAATACTAAATTATCAGTGATGAATAATTATTTGTGTCAAATTAGAGGGGCCACCCCCTGTGCAACTAGGCTGTTTTAGGCGGCTGTGACTTGGCTTACTTGTGGCTTCCTCTGTCAGTCATGTGATTCTCCCCTTTTCCCTCCTCAGTACAGACTTCCATCACTCTGTTTATCTTTTCATCCACCCACCCAATTCCAAGGTTCCCTGACTTGCCAGATCCTAGCCCAGTGCCTGGTGTACTATAGAGGATCCATAAATGTGTTTTAAAGTGGAGGGAGGCCCTGGCCAGTTTGGCTCAGAGAAGGGTCTCAGGTTTGATTCCCGGTCAAGGGCACATACCTGAGTTGCAGGTTTGATCTCCAGCCCCAGATGGGGCTATGCAGGAGGCAACCAATCGATGTCTCTCTCATATCAATGTTTCTTTCTCTCTCTCCTTCCCTCCCTTCCATTCTATCTAAAAATCAATAGGAAAATATCCTCGGGTGAGGATTAACAACAAAAATGGAAGGAGAAAGGAGCTCAGAGTTGGTGCTAAGCCCTAGAGAAGAGAATCTCCGAGATTTCACACATGCTTTTCTGCCCATGAAGTAATGCCCATAATGAACTTCAAAGACCCATGTACATTTTTGCTATTTCCTGGACACACTAAATTCAATCCTAGGTAACAAAATGCTAAATGAATATGTTCCCTCCTCCTCCCCTCTACAGTCCATTTGGTATTCATCCATAAAATATATTAATTGTGTCTTTGTGTTATACAATACAGATACATCTCACGTTACATAAATCTTCAATGGACGTTTTATGGTACTTTGCTCTGAGGAAAAGAAAAACAACTCAGAAACGAACACACGTTGCTGGAAATGGTTCTCTGCCCGTTCACTGAGTCTGTTTATTTATCTCGTACTTTACAATGTACAGCAGTCTCTCCTCACGGCTCTCTGGTCTGTCGGGGGAGCCCAGGGCTGCAGCCTCCATTTACAGAGAAGGAAACTGAGTCACCGGAATTTTAGTAGCTTGCCATGTGGCTATTTCCTCCACCTTTGGACACCATCATGGTAAGACATACCATTAATCTAACCATAGGTTTTGAGGAATTAAGAAAACTCTACCTCATTCTGTATGCATATTGCTTGTAAGATACAGCTCAGTGTTTCTGAGGCATCACGTTACGTGGGCTTGGAGGAAAGGGTGTGTATGTTAAAATGAAAGAAATAGAAGCAGCAAAGCAGGGCCGGAAGCCAGTCTTCTAACCCTGAGTCGCAGTGTGTAGGTAATGTTATTTCTCGGCTTTGCTGTTTCTACGCTTTGGCATCCGTCTCTCAGAAGGCTCAGGGCTTCTGTACAAGATACTCTCCGTTGATGGAGAAAAGGGGTTGTTTCCTCTAAAAACAAAAATTCAAGCAAACCCTGATTTCTTACTTTTCAATTTCTGGGGCCGTAGGCAACACCTTTGGGAGCTTCCCAGGGGCAGCTTTCTCTGCTGTTTTCCGGTGGGACCTTGCTTGGTGACTAAGGACTGATCATAAGATCCCCTTATTGAAGTTCCTTCTTCCAGTGTCCTTGCTTTGGGAATTTAACAAAACTTTAAGATCTTCAGTCAAAAGTGATGTTTCAGGATGAAGTTCTAGAGGAACTGTGGGATGCAATGCGAGGAGTTCAGAGTCTATTTAAGATATTAGAGAACGAAAGCTTTAACATATCTGCATTCACACACACAGCCTATTTTGTTGTTGGTTGGTTGGTTTGTCCGTCAGGTGTAACACTGCTGAACTGGAATCCTTGTAAGTTCAAAGTTTCGATAGTTTACATAGAAAAATAAGGAAGAAAGCAAGACGTAAAGGAAGGAAAGCGTCTCTTGGAATCGTGCAGAAAGTAGGTTGCCGCCAATCGGTTACACGTTTTTTTGTGCAAGAGGGGAAAAAATGTAACTTTTGATTCCAATCCTGGTTGAAGCGGTTAAAAAAAAAAAGTTTTTCCAACCGTGTGAAGTAAAAGAAATTAGACTCAAGTGGCCGTAACTGAGCTCCCCATCGGATTATTGTGCGAGGTCCCCTTTCTTCCCGCCGTGGATAATGCGTGTTCATTGTGAGTTATCTGGAGCCGGTTTCTTTTACGGCCTCAGCCGGTATAAAGTCGAGCTAGGACCGGGGCCGGAGAGTTGGCAGCATCTGGGAGGCAGCATCCACGGGCCGGAGGGAATGAGACAGGCGGGAACATGAGCGACGCCGTGTGTTACTGACGCTCCCAGTGGTATGAGCCCCACGTTTTGCCTCTCGGTGCAGAGCAGGAACCATTAGGAAGAGGGGATGGATGGCATCGGGGATCTCCCCTGGAAAGTCCCCCACGACTGTGTGTGCTGCTTTGATCTCACCCTTCGTTTTAATTTCTTGCTCGTGTTTCTGACCTAGAATGATCGAGGCTCGGGCCCTGGCAGGACCGTGAACATCTGGCCAGCCTGGTTTGGCCGCCTGGTGAAGACCAGGTGCTGAGAAGCAATGGTGATGAGGGCCTTTGTCCTGTTGGCTGTCTTTGTGGAAGCTTCTGCGAAATCATGCACTCCGAACAAAGCAGGTATGTCCTGGGGCAGGGCCGTTTTCCCGGGAAGGAAACTTCCTGAAACTTCCCTCAGAGCTCTGTGCTTATGATGTTATGAAAATGCAATAATATAGCCAAGTAGAAGCACTTAAGACCCCCCCAGTGCCAATCAGAGTTTTCCCACAGAAAGTAAAAATGTACTGGGTAAAATTAGAAAATGCTAGGTAGGTCAATAAATAGAGACAACATCTCCACATTTTTCTTATTTCCTACTTGACTGTTGAATTTCTGTCCTGTCCCATGAAATACTGTTTCACGTGAATGGAATGGACTTTTTTTTTAAATGAATGGACAGTTTTGACTTTAGGTTATGTGCTTATTTTTATGGGATTTTTAAAAAAGATATATATATATATATATAATAGATATCAATCAATCAATTCAATCTGGTTCCATGGATATATTTCTTGAAATAAATTAAAATTTTATTTTTTTAATTATTATTTTTATTATTTTTGTTACAGATGATTCTCCTTTTTCCCCCACTGACACCAGCTTTGTTGTCTGTGTCCATTGGTTATGCATACATGCATATAAGTTCTGTGAAATAAATTAAAAATTTAAAGTGGACCCATTTTGAACACATTTTAAGTATAGTTATATTTGAACACATTAAATATTACAGATGTATCAAAAACTATAAAAGCAGAACTTTAATGACTGAGGTTGGGGAAAACTTTGATCACAGTCCATGAAGAATAGCAGGGAAAGTGTTTTTAACCAGCTGTTTTGCATGTTCAGGCGTAGTTAGAACCCACTGTTATTTATGTAGATTAATATGATTACCATATCTGATTTCCAATTTTGTGTATCTTCTTTCCAGATGTCATTCTTGTGTTTTGTTATCCCAAAACCATCATCACCAAAATCCCTGAGTGTCCCTATGGATGGGAAGTCCACCAGCTGGCACTTGGGGGGCTGTGTTACAATGGGGTCCACGAAGGAGGTTACTACCAATTTGTAATCCCAGATCTGTCACCTAAAAACAAGTCCTACTGTGGAACCCAGTCCGAGGTAAGTTCGGGCCACACAAGGAGGAGTCGCTAAGATGAGACAGCTGGGCCCAAAAGGGAGATGTCTGCTGTCCACCCTAAGAAGGATTTAGAATTCACCAATTTCCTTTTAAGAGTCCATTGTGTTTCTTGAGATGTTAGTGCTACGTACGTTCTTCTCTGCTGTCTAGTTTAAGTGAGTCTTTGGATTTGAATTTGACTCTTACTTCTGTGAGCAGAGCACCGGACACGCCCACCTCTGCTTTGCTCAGTTCCGCACGTGCTCACAAGCTCCGCCCTTCCGGGGTTGGATGAGTAGGGCATCCTCTCCCGAGACTCTGAAGGGTTGATAAAGGGTATTGGGAAAGGCTTTTTTAAAAAAATCCTCACCCGAGGACATTTTTCCATTTTTTGTTCAGATAGAGTGGGAGGGAGACAGAGAGAGAGAAACATTGACGTTAAAGGGACACACCGAGTGGTTGCCACCCGCACGACCAACCAGGACCCGGGACAAACTGCAACCCAGGCACGTGCCCTTAGCGGGAACCGAACCCGGGTCTCTCTGGACTGCAGGCCAATGCTCTAACTGCTGAGCCAAACCGGCCAGGGCAGGAAAGGCATTTTAAAGGAGTAATCAAAGTTCAATACAATTTGTAACTAGATCTTATAAAATATCAAGGAAAGGTCATCAGAATCAAAAGAAACTATAGACAACCTCTTGCCAATATCCTATATGACAAGAGGAGAACCTGAGACCTCCCAATAAGGTGCTCGTTGGAGGCCACAACCAGTAGGGATACCATCATAGTCGGGAAGGGAGGCTATTCCGCTACCGACATCCGGCATTTCTACCTTCTTGACTACAAAAGACTGTACAGAAATCAGGTCTCAGAAAACAGGAGCAAAGGTCTCCCCGGGCCACCTCTTCCTAAAGACCCCACAGGGATTCAGTGATTACGTGGAAAGAGTCAAGGTCATGATTAACAAAAACATCATGTCTTTGCGTGTCCTGGTAAAGTGAACTAAACATTATCTGTGTGGTCTTAGGGAGGTCATTTCTCAAGTGGATGTTCAAGATCACCCCGGACTCTAGTAGTGTGTGATTTCAGTGTTCAACAAGTCAGAGGAAAGAGTCTCAGAAATAGTGCTCATGATTGAGAAAAGACTAGAGCTAAGAACTAGACAGTCATAGTCTAGAAATGGGAGATTTCTAAAAATCACCCTGCGTGGATGAAGGTTTTCATGTAAGATGACTTAGGCAGGGGAAATGGGTGAAAAGTTGATGTTGGAAAGTAAAGGTTCCCGCGCCAGTTCTTCTGGGTCAGAAGCCCAGCAGGTGCATGGGTTTCTTTTAAGCATACCACATTCAATTTAGATTATTTTATTTCATTTATTTTATTTTTTCCTTTATTGAGTTTAGAGAGAGAGGAAGGGAGAGGGAGAGAGAGATAGAAACATCAATGAAAGAGAACATCAATTGGCTGCCTCCTGCATGTCCCCCACTGGGGATCAGGCCCACAACCTGGGCATGTACCCTGACCAGGAATGGAACCAGTGACCTCTTGGTGCATGGATCGACGCTCAACCACTGAGCCACACTGGCTGGGCTCAATTTGGATTATTTTAAACAATTATCGTTGAACAGGTGCAAGAACTATTTATAAAAATGATCACCCCACCCTGACAAGAAGAGTGGATGCTACTCTTAATGCCAGACCCTTCTGTCTCCCCAGGGGCTTTGTTCTGAGCCAACGTCAATCGCTTTGTTCAGAACCCTCCTTCTCATCGTGGGGCACAGGTCCATTCTAACTGCCTTCTTCCTCTCTCCAGTACAAGCCCCCCATCTACCACTTCTACAGCCACATTGTTTCCAATGACAGCACAGTGATCGTGAAGAACCAGCCCGTGAACTACTCCTTCTCCTGCACCTACCACTCCACCTACTTGGTGAACCAGGCTGCCTTCGACCAGAGGTAAGTCGCTCGGAGAGCAGGGGGCTGGCTGCCTTGTGTGCGCTCTGCAGTCCCTGTCAAGCAGGCATGTTTCAGTCCTTATGCAAAATTCTCTCCCCTTTTCAGAGTGGCCACTGTTCACGTGAAGAATGGGAGCATGGGCACATTTGAAAGCCAGTTGTCTCTCAACTTCTACACTGTAAGTGGTCTCCAGGTCCCACTGCCGCCCTCTGGCCTCTCCGGGAGATGATGGGACCTTCCTCAGGATTTTCTCTTCCCTAAGTTCTATGCAGAACTCCATCTTACATACAAGCTGAGATGTAAGCTTTGGTCTAGGTTTAAACCTCTTTAAAAACTAAATGCAGCCCTGGCCGGTTTGGCTCAGCGGTTAGAGCTTCGGCCTGAGGTCCAGAGAGACCTGGGTTCGGTTCCCGCTAAGGGCACATACCTCGGTTGCAGTTTGTCCCCGGCCCTGGTTGGGTCGTGCAGGTGGCAGCCACTCGATGTGTCCCTTTCACATCAATGTTTCTCTCCTTCTCTCTCTCTTTCTCTCTCTCTCTCTCTTCCTCTCTCTCCCTCCCACTCTATCTGAACAAAAAAATGGAAAAATGTCCTCAGCTGAGGATAAAAAAACAAAACAAAACTAAATGCAGCAGAAAGGCAGGCTCATAGACTGGATGGAAGACATGAAAGGTACCACAGAGAAAAGAATCCAACCTTCCCATTTTATTGAGAGAACATTGAGGCAAGGGAAATCCTGTGAGTCGCCAATGGTCAATAGACAGTAGGATGGCCAATGTCTAACTCTTTTTCTTTTTTTTTAATCCTCAGCCAAGGATATTTTTTTCCATTGATTTTTAGAGAGATTGGGAGGGAAGGAGAGATGGAGAGAGAAAGAAAAAAAAAACTGATTAATTGCCTCCAGCATGCACCCTGACTGGGGCCAGGGATTGAACCTGCAACCCAGGTACATGCCCTTGATTGGGAATCAAACCCTCGACCCTTCAATCCACAGGCCAATGCTCTAACCACTTAGCCATGCTGGCCAGGGCCAATGTCTAACTCTTTTTTTTTTTTAATCCTCACTCGAGGACATTTTTCCATTTTTTGTTCAGGTAGAATGGGAGGGAGAGAGAGGAACAGAGAGAGAGAGAGAAACATCGATGTGAAAGGGACACATCGAGTGGCTGCCACCCACACGACCAACCAGGGCGGGGACAAACGGCAACGGAGGTACATGCCCTTAGCGGGAACCGAACCCGGGACTCTCTGGACCGCAGGCCGACGCTCTAACCGCTGAGCCAAACCGGCCAGGGCCAATGTCTAACTCTTAATCAAGATTTGTTTCCACTACAACCCACTGTAGAGGTTTATATTTAGGATCCAGCACGTTAAAACACTTGCACAGAGTAGTGAGCTCCCTACCTGGGCCAGGGCTAAGGAGACAGCTTGAGGTTGGCCTCTGCTGCCTAGTTCTTAGGTCTCCAAAGCCCTTCGCTCAGTGGGCTTCCTCACCGTCTAGTGGGCTTCCTCACTGTCTAGTCTGGGCACGCTGCCTATGTTGACATCCAAGGTAAAGGCACATCTTGGTCTTTCTCAGCATAAAGTACTCCAGGGAAACTAAAAGCGCAGTGGCCACTAGCCCAACAGGCCCTGTTTGGAAGGGGTGCTTTGTGTTCCCAACCTGCAGCTGTCAGTGAGGAGAGAGAGACAGAGCAGCACTAGCCCAGCAGGCTCCAGGACATTAGAACTAGAAGGTATCCTTAGGGGCCATCACGGTCAACCCATTCATTTCACAAAGAAAACGCCTGTATTGCCTGGAACCCCGCTGACCTTGAACTCTGAGCTTGCTTTACTGACTCCCTGAAACTATTAACCCCCCTGAACGCAGAGGGCGCGAGCTAGAAGAGACCCTAGGATAACCCGGCCCACTTTACACATGGGATCTGAAGCCCAGGAGGAGGAAGTGACCTGCCCCAGACCCCACAGTAGTCTGGAGCAGGGCCCAGTCTGGCAGACAGATCTCCCTGCTCTTCGGGGCTGACTTACTGAGAAGGGAGTGACGCGGGAGTTGTACACCCTCACTTGCACACTCCCCTTTCAAGGCCTTGTGTCTCATCTTTGTACTGACAGTTTATGATTCTTTTCATTAAAGAGGGCTCTCCAAATTAGAAAAGCTTCAAGATCCCACAAAACCTAGATCTGCCCCTGGCCACACACAGTGGTTAAATCCTGAAAAAAAGGACTTATAACCCCTGGACCTGTGACCAGGAAGGTCAACCTGGTGATGAGAGCCAGAGTGATAAAAAGATACTCAAACCACCGCAGTAATTGATGAAGGTGGTCCAGAGAGAAAAATAGGCTCCACACATTGACAACAGTCTTGGGGGACGTCCTAATGACAGGCCGTCTTGACAGCTGAGTCCCTGTCCGGAAGTGCGTCATTGTTATTTTAACCAGATAAAAGTATAGAAATGAGCCTATGCAGAGTTTACACAGAGGGGAATGGAGAGGCACCAGGATTGTCAAAAATCATCACCCACCATCCGCCATGTTGGGCTTAGGTTCAGATATAAACATCAAATTTTAGAACTGGAAAGAGTCTATTCTTTTCTAAGAGAAAAAAATAATTAAAGAGGCATATCCTCAGCATCACCCAGGCCATCCTCTGGGCTGGAGACAGGCTTCCAAGATGCCTCCTTGAACTGCTCTAGAAATGAGGCTAAGGTCTCCTCTGGGGCCCACCAAGACCTTTACAGGACAAACAGCTCAGCAAACAGGGAGCTCTGCTGTTAGGACAGAGACGTTCATGCTGATTAAGATTCCCACCACGGGCTGTTTCCCATGCCTGCCCCATGCAGTTGGTATTTTTCTTCTCCTCCCCTCTCCCACTTCGAGAGCATTCTTGTGTGTTCCCGAAGCAACAGCTGCTCCCTGCATATATTTCCATCAAATTAGCAGTGACAGAGCTGTGCCCTAGATTGCACAATGGAATCAAAGCTCTGCTAATTGCTTAGGGTTCCGGGAACTCCAAATGCTCGGCCCCAAAACCACCGGTTCTACCAGCATGCGTCCTCTCTTCTCTCCCTACCCCCTCCCACCCATTCTTGCCAATGGCCCATGGTTGGTATTCTGGGCAAAAAGTTATTTTGACTCCCAGTCCAAAATAAAGGAAGGTAGTCAGCTTGCAGACATAGCCTAGTGCTGTGGTTAAGAAACTAGGTCTTGGTATCACACCATTGGTTTGAAAGCTTAGTTCTATCATTTACTAGTTGTGTGGCCTTGGGCAAGTTAATTAACCTCTGTGGGTTTCCACCTATGTGTTTGTTAAATGTATATGTGTTTGTTAAATAGCATTTATCCCATAAGCTTATTACGAGGGTTAAATGAAATAATCATTATGAAGCACATACCAGAGTGCCCGGCACAAGGTGAGTGTCTGTGAAATAGCCTTTGACCCCATTTAAAGTGAAAACTCTGAGAGCTTCTAGAACAAATGCCGTTACCTTTGTACGGTTGAACATCAATATCAGTGTGAGGTTAGGGTGACTCATACTCATTCGAAATGGTACTAACCATTCTTCTTAGATAAAGATAAATGAAAAAGTTTGGGATGGAACAAACGCAAATAATAGAGGCCCAAATCTCATAGACTTCCGGAGTCAGAACAAAGCTTGGAGGAGATCAACCTTGACTTTCCATGCACAGTCCAAGACCCTTCTGTAAGGTTGCCGAGGGGTGTCTCCCTGCCTCTTTCGAGGACCACAGCAAGTTGGGCCTTCCCCTTTTCCATCAGTGGATGATAGGTGACATCCGGAACACCGGCCCGCTGATGTTGGTTCTGTCGTCTGGAATCATGCCATGCAATGATGTTGCTGACAGTCCTGCAACTATCTCAAGCTTGTCTTTCCCAAGCTGAACATCTTCCCACTGTGGGTGGTCCATTCATCATCCCAGTCACTCTGAGTATGGTCCACTTGGTCAGTGCCCCTACTGAAAACCAGAGCCCAGGACTGAAATGTTATATTCTAGAACTCATCAGACCAACAAAGGGCACAGTGAGTCAGAGGTGATCTTCTAGGTTCTGGAAGATTCTAGGAACTTGTTCTGGGACAAGTTTAGTTTCAGGCAGTTTTCTTTCACTGCTATCTCTCCTTGAGCTTGTGAGAAAAAGCAGCTCCCAAATCTTGCCTACATGGATGGCTGTACCCATCCTCAGCGCGTCCCAGCTGGCTGTGACTCAGTCTTTTGCTCGGGCGAAGGGCCTGGATGGCATGATTTTCCAAGATGCTCATCCATCCTGTTCTCTGCATTAGTCATGTATGTGGTGTTTCTGTGTCCTGAAATACCAAAGAAAACTCTGCAAATATTATAGGGTGGAGCTATCTGGAAACAGGTTCCTGATTTTCATGTTATAAAGAAAACAGGGGGATATCATGCTGAGCATTGCCTTAGCCATAGGGTGAGAAGTGAAGAAACTGACCATGAAAAGTATTTGCTTCAGAAATCAAATCGATAGTGTAGATTCTATTCTCCACTTGAAACAAAGTCGGGCAGCTTCCCCTGGGAGCAGAGGCATTATCCCCGTTCCAATATTCTGCTGGCTGGCCCTGGAGGGTGGAGCTGGGAGAAGCAACTCTGATAGGTTGGGGACTACAGTGTGGTCCCCAGCTAAGGTCCCACATTTGGAAATGGTCTCTCGCAATATGACAAATCTTGGGAAATAACCAAAAAGATTAAACACCACCAATAACCTGTCACTTCAGTGTGCATATTAAGCTAGTAAGTCAGTTGTGACTAAGAACGTTCTTGTTTAATGATTGCAACCATTTCAATGGTGAAGGGGACTGACACATGGGAAGAAAACCTCTGACGTTCTGGTGACTTGAGCCCCAGGAGCCCCGGGCAGACTTGCAGGCAGCCAGATCACGTAGGAGCTGAAGCCTCTCGGCCAATCCTCCGAACCCGAACCGTAGGAGGTGAAAGTCCATTTTAACCAGATACCCTTGCCGCTGCCCCTGTTTACCTATTGCAGTTCTGCAAAGTTCCAAGTCCATGAATCTCAACATTTTAACTAGTATCCTGGTTTCTGCTTTATGCTTCTAGTACACTAATTCGCCATCATAAAACGATTCTGCAAGGTAGGTGAAGGCAAAGGTTATTCCCATTTTGAAGATGGGGGAATTGGGGCCCAAAAGCCTCATTTGCCTGTGATGGGCCCCAGGTTCGTGATGGGAGCTAGGATTAGCCCAGGATCCTTGTCCTTCCATCATCACATTTTTGTCTCTGGAAGCTAAACTCGGAGAGTAGTTAAAGGTCGTTACTGGAGTTGAGTGACCCTAAGACTCAAAGAATGGATAAATCAGCCTCTTTTGGGTAAGTCCATGGGAAACACTGCTATTTACTCCTCATAATTAACCCAGAACCGCCTGATGAAGATGACAGGTGAAGAGCACATACACCAGCCCCATGACCAAAGGCGCTGTTTCTGAAATCATGACCATGACCCCCTGTGGCACTTAACCAGTTTCAACTGGATCCATCTCCACAGCCTCTGGATCAACATCATCTCCTGTACCCTACTCATCCCCCCCACTTCCCCTTTACACAGGCACATTGGGCCTCGAGGTCCTGCCGGCCACTCTCTCACCCCAGGGCCTTTGCCTTGGCTGAAGCACCCTTCCTTGGACGCCGTGTGCAGTATAGAAGTGTTTCTTAGTATCAGTCCTTAGCGGGAAGCACAGGCTCCGTCAGCTCCCTCGAGCCTTGGTCCGAACACCACATCCTCAATGAGGCCTCCCCAGCTACTCTATTCACAATTACAGCTTCTCTCTCCGTGCACTCCCAACCCACCTCACCCTGCTCGAATGTCCTCTGGTTTCCCTATATTACGTACTGTGTTCTAACATGCACAGCTCACTTACCTATTGTCTGTGGTCTGTCTGCCTGCTAGAATGGCGGGTGGTTGGAGACAGAGATCTATGCTTTTTTATTATTATTATTAATTTATTTTTGTTCCAGATGTTTCTCTCCCCCCCATTTCCTCCTCCCGATTCCCCTCCCCCGCCCTGCTCCGTCCCCAGCATTGTTGTCTATGTCCTTGGTTACACATACATGCGAGATCTGTGCTTTTTACGCAATAATCTCAATAGACAGAATACCCAGCCATAGAGACTAGCCCGAAGGGGAGAGAGCAGTGCTTGGCACAGAGCAGCGATCAGTGAGTTGCTGTTGTCATTGTTGATAACTGCACTGGGAATCGGATCATAAACTGTCCGGTCCAGGCTGGCATCGGCTCGAACAGTAGAGGAGCAAGTTCAGAGCAGTGTTGCATGTGTCTGGTCTCCGTGCCCTTCGGGGATTTGGTCACCCAGTGCTTCAGCACTCCTGGACTCTACTGTTTTTCGCCATCAGACAAGTCTTGTTTCTTTTGGCACAGATGAGACACACAGTGGGTGTCTCACTGTGACCAGCGAATGCAGACATGTTGATGTCCTCATCCCTACTAAGATGGCACCAGCGTCCTAGGAGGTACAGCTTCTCTGATCCTGGAGGTTTCTCACTGTGGTCTCCCGTGTCTGTGCCCTTGGGGTGGGTCCCCACCCCCACCCCATCCCAAGCCATCTGCTCCTGTCGAACCCCACTGCTCAGTCTGAGAGGTCATAATGCCCAGTGTCAATTTCCTTCCAAAGAATGCCAAGTTCTCCATTAAGAAAGAAGCCCCCTTTGTCCTGGAGACATCCGAAATTGGTTCAGATCTGTTTGCAGGAGTGGAAGCCAAAGGGTTAAGCGTCAGGTAAGTACATTTTCTCCACGTTTGTATTTTTAAAGACAAAGAAAAGTAAGAGAGACTAGCCTAGCCGAGAGACTTTGCAATCACCACTCTCTGGCTCAGAGTGATGCGTTTCCTTTCATCTCCAGGTTCAAAGTGGTTTTGAACAGCTGCTGGGCCACACCCTCTGCTGATTTCATGTACCCCTTGCAGTGGCAGCTGATTAACAAGGGGTAGGTACTGCTCTCTGGCTCACAGGGCTGAGAGGGGCCAGGCAGACCCAGGCCTCCTGGCTCAGGACAGCTTGGGAGGAAGAGGTGGAGCCTCCTGTAGCTAATGAGTGACATCCTCTGTGCTTCCAGGCTGCGTACTGATCCTAGCACACATTTACAGTCTGCTTTCTGGTACCAGGTACTGTTCCGATTGCTTTCTCAGATACAAACTCATTTGCTTTACAACAGGTAGGGGTAGGGTTGTTCCTACCATCCCCATTTCCCAGGTGAGAAAACTGAGGTACAGGAGGGGTTAACTAATGTCACATAGTTTGTGTGTGTGGAGGGGAAGTGTGTTCAAATCCAATCAGTCTGACATCAGAACCCTGGTGGGGACTAAATTAGATAATCCATGTAGAAGGTTTAGCATGGAGTACCTAGTCAGTATCCAACTGATTTAATAATGTCATTGTTTTTATTATTAATTCAGTAGATAATGAAGACCTCTTAACATTTTTTTTTTAATCCTCACTTAAGGACATTTTTGCATTTTTTGTTCAGATAGAGTGGAAGAGGGAGAGAGAGAGAGAATCATAGATATGAAAGGGACACATCGAGTGGTTGCTACCCGCACGACCCAACCAGGGCCAGGGACAAACTGCAATCGAGGTACATGCCCTTAGCGGGAACCGAACCCGGGTCTCTCTGGACCACAGGCCAATGCTCCAACCGCTGAGCCAAACCGGCCAGGGCTTAACCTTTTTGAGTAGAGGCCTGGAGCACTAGAACTGCACAGTAGAAAGGTGATGCTGGACGTCATACATGGGATGGTGCAGAAGCATTCACGGGAGGTGGGAAGACCAGGTTAGAGGCGGTGGTGGCTATTGGACCAAACGTGACAACACCTGAACCGAGGTGCGGCCAGGTGAATGGAGAGGTCCTCCAAGGAGGGAGAAATCATAAAAAAGTTTAGCGGCCAATTGAGTACGCTGGGCAGAGGAGGTCAGGACAAGGGGTCTGAGGACTATGTGGCAAAGATGGCTTTGTATTGCAGAGTCTGTGATTGTGAGGGTGAAGAAGTATTTTTTATTGGCTGCTGGGATGGAGCTTCCTGGATAAGGTTCTTTGGATTCTCCTTGAGCACAAGGATGACATGTTAAGCTTGAGATCACAATTGTCCAGAAACACTTAGAATGGAAACTTTGGAAAAGAGAGGTGAGGTGGAGATAGACGCAAGATGCAGGCATCACCCACACAGTGAGCAGCAAACACGAGAGGCCGCTCCCCAGAGCAGCGCAGACCGGTGTGCCCCTGGGTTTCCAGAACCCGTCGGGGCTTAAGTAAACACTGGGGCCAGGGACAAAATGATCAGCTAACAAAGGCCGAGCCACTCTGGACCTTTAAATCTTTATTTTTATTTAACAAATAAAGCACTTGCAACAGGCCAGACATGGCTCTAGCCAGGTGCTCCACAAATACTAACTTATTTACATGTCTTTAAACCCCGTTAAGTAAGTAGTGTGATCCTCTCTGTTTTATGGATGAGAAAACCGAGGCACAGACAGGTTCGGAAACGTGCCAGAGTCTAGAGCGAGTAAGAGGACGGAGATCCGAGCTTCGGCCGCATGATCTCCTGGGTGGCGTGAAGGACAGGCCAGCAGAGCTCCAGCGGAGCCACCTGGCAAAGCTTCCTGCGGAGAAGGGAGCTTAGTTTGGGTGCTTATTTCACATCTGTCCTTGAGGTTCTGTTGATAGCGGCACAATCAAAGGCGCCTCGGGGAGGTTCTGAAATAAGTAACTGACCCCCCGGGACCTGAAATTGCAGCCGGCATTGGAAACCTCCCTCAGACAATGGCCACACGGGGGCAAAGGCTTCTGCTCCATCATGGGATTGCCCACCTGCGGGGGGGTCTGGGGCTGTTGCTCACCTGATGGAGGTGTGACATGAAAGAGAAAGGAATGCCTGTGCGTCGGAGTTGTCTGTACACGTGTCCCTCAGGTCGTGTGCACAGATTACCGAGGGTGCCAGGTGCACATGCAGGCGCTGTTGACCTACCACATCAAAAGGTCCCTGGGTGAGCCTGGGGATCTGCATTTAAGCACAGCCGTAGGGAGAAGTCCTGATCTAGCTCCATTCCCTGCCTAGTTGAAATGGCCCTTGGGGTCGGAGAAACACGCATGAAGGCCAGTGTCAACGGGGAGAACTTCCACAACCCTCAGGTGCGTTGGGGTCACACTGGGCCCTCTAGAGGAAACCTCAGTTTTCAAGAGTGCCTGGAGAAAGTACAGTAGATGTATTATCAGGACGTTTTATCTTACGTGGGGAAGGAGACTCCCGTGGCAACCATGTGAAAACCTCCTGGTGGACATTCCACCGTCTAGAGGTATCTGTCACAGAGGGGCAGGTGCCCCAGCCATTGCCAAGAGGGCAGCCGTGCCAAGGCATCTAGTCCGGCCCATGACTTGCCTCCTCCTGCCCCCGACATCACTCTGCTTACCTTGTTTTCCACTGGCTCGGGCGCTCGGCGTCCAGGGACTGTGTTAAGTACTCACGTGTCAAGTTTGTGCAAGAATCTCGGGTTTGTGGACCAAATGATCCTCCAAGAGTCTTGTCTCACAGCTCGGAAAATGCGCCCAGCTCTGTCACTGCTCAGAGACCACCACAAACAGAAGCCAGCTTCTGAGCCCTGGTCCTGGTACAAGGCACAGCGTGGGTGCCTTGTGTCCCTCAGCAACCCTCAGAGCTAAGGTTCCTTCAGCGCCATGTCTCTGTCCGCCCGCTGTCCGTCCTGCGGAGTGGGTGGGGAGGGTACCTCTGAAGCTGGGCTGCTCTCCGGGGCGGTGGAGCTGGGTGACTGGAGGCCGAGGTGCCCAGGAGGCGCATTGCTGGCCCCCCCGCTGTGGCGCGCTCCAGTGGTCAACACTCTGGCGCCCACAGACCTTTCCCGTGGCGAAACCTCACCACACACACAGAGGAACGTGTCGGGTGTGAGTTGGACCTCGGTGGTTAGGGCAGCACTTTGGGAAATGCCGGCCCAGCACCTTTGTCTCTGTCTTGTGGAGTCGACATATCCCAGTGCTCCTGGGGGGCTCTGTCTCAGGGATCGCACTCCTTTGGGACAGCGGTGTCGCCCTACCAGGTGTGTGACTTAGAAGCCTCTCCGCTCACCCCACTGCAGCCTGACTGTACAATGGGGACGCCCACACCCATCTCCGCTCCTCAGCGGGCCCATAGTCGTGAGGATAACTGAGATGCTGCCGGTCGGAGGGCTTCGGAAGGATGACGAGCTGTGTGAGGGCCCAAGGCAGTGCTGTCGCTGTGCATGAGCTTGCCTGAGACGCACTTGCTGCCTTCCAGGAGGTAACACTGTCTCCCCCACCCCCACCCCATGTGCTTCAGCTGCCCCACGGATGAAACCATCCTCGTGCATGAGAACGGGAAAGACCACAGAGCGACCTTCCAGTTCAATGCCTTCCGGTTCCAGAACATCCCCAAACTCTCCAAGGTTTGGTTGCACTGCGAGACGTTCATCTGTGACAGCGAGAAGCTCTCCTGCCCCGTGGTGAGCTCCTCTCCCCGACCAGAATGTCACCCGAGGCGCGCTGGCATTTGAGACGCTGTATTTTTAGCTGGGGACGGTAACCAGACCAGGGTCGGTGAGTGCGGAGGAAGCTCTGGAGGAAAGGACAGAGAGTGGGGCGGACAGTCTGGCCCTGCCCACCCTGCCTCCCCGCCGCCCTGCCTGGCAGGTGTCACCCCGTCTGGAGCCTGGCTTTCCCGTCGTTAAAGACAGCGTGGCGACAAGTCAGAGGCTCCTTCCTTTTCGGGGAGCAGTGGCAGGTGGGGAAGGTGGTGGGTGCCAGACATGGAAATGCTTTGAAAAAGTGAAAAGCACAGGGAAATGTAAAATCTCGGTGGTAACAGTAGGTTCTGGACGGAAGTCAAAAGGTGGGTATTTTTAGCTCTTGACCGGCCAGTTTCCCCTCCTCACCCTCCCCCCACCCCAAAGTTTCAGCAGCATCAATCAACAGACAGACGTTGCTGATTCAGATGAGGGACAGTTTTCCACTGTGACCTGATGCAACCCTGGTCCTCTGAGCAGTGGTCCTAAGCGTGGCCCCCCGCAGCCTCAGTACCAACTGGGGACTCATTGGGGATGTAAATTCTCAGGACCCCCAGGCACATGATCCAGAAACTCTGCATGGGCCCCCCAATCAAGCCCTTCAGGTGACTGAATCATGCTCAGGTGAGAACCTCTGCCTTGGAGACCTAAGTGTTACACGCCAGACGTGTACCTCTCGGCTCTGCTTGGACCAGGGCTCGAGGACGGACAGTGTCTGAAGACGGCCCTGGTCACATCGCCCGTAGTAACCAACAGACCCGAGATGAAAATATCTCGTTCTGCTGATTCCTTTGGCCAGAAAGTGGCCACTGACGGGCACACAGAGAGAAAGAGAAGGGAGCAGGAGACATTTACCAGTTGATAAAAGGATAATTATTGGCACGGCATTTAGAAAAGAAAAGGTGAACCAGAACACGCTTTGAAAGTGTCCACTTCTCCAATCACTGTTAACCCCCAAAGGGTCACTCCCTCCCACACCAGGGGCCTCTTCCAGCAGGGTCTCCTGCAGCGTGAGCAGTTTCTCCAATTCAGGGAGGATGAGAGCTGTCTCTCTGGGCTGTTTAAATAGAGAAGGTCACTAGTCTCTGTTAGCTGGGGGATTTTGACTCTATCAAGTTGGTGACTGCTTTTTTAAATTTCTTGTCTTCCTTTTCTCTTCTGCGTTCATTTCTCACCCCCCTCCCACCCCCACCCCTCACCTCTGCTTCTCCTGGGCCTTCAGACCTGCGACAGACGGAAGCGCCTCCTCCGAGAGCAGACAGGGGGCGTCCTGGTGGTGGAGCTCTCCCTGCGCAGTAAGCCCGTGTCCCCGGTGCTCGCCTTCCCGCGGCTGCGCCCACAGGCACAGGTGGTTGGAGCATTGTCACCGAATTGCCAACCAGCTGTGCCTGTAGAGCCTCCAGTGTAGACACAGCCTTCACCTGCAACCCCTTACCTGGGGGGCGGGCCGTTGATGCCAGACTAAGGAGTTAAGGCCAGCCCACTACGCGGAGGCCTCGGTTGCAATGCGCGCGAGGGTTTGGCCCTGCTGGGCTTCCAGATGGAGCGTGCTGTCGGCAGGGATCATAGAAAATGAAACGTACCGGGAACATCCAGGGCAGGTCGACTGTTTGTTTTTTTTAATCCTCACCCGAGGACATTTTTTGTTCAGATAAAGTGGGAGGGAAAGAGAGGAAGAGAGAGGGGGATACATCGACATGAAGGGGACACATCGAGTGGCTGCCTCCCACACGACCAACCAGGGCCAGGGACAAACTGCAACCGAGGTACGTGCCCTTAGCGGGAACCGAACCCGGGTCTCTCTGGACCACAGGCCGACGCTCTAACCGCTGAGCCAAACCGGCCAGGGCGCAGGTCGACTTTTATTGAGCAAAGAACTGTGCCTGGCCTGGGCACTGGGGTTTCAGAAATACAGGGGCCCCCCCGTGGGTTTTGTCCTAAAGAACTTAGCATCGTGCAAAAAGAGAGACGTTAAATGGTAAGGGAAAGGGAGATACTGTGACAGCGGTGGGGGAGGGGCCGTGGGTGACTATGACCAGGGAGTCAGCCTAGTCCTGGGCTTACGGAAGTCCTCTGGAAGGTATCAGGCTACAGCTGGAGGTCGTGGGAGAGGGGCAGTGACCCAGGCTGCCCCTGGATTTTGTAGGGCCTGCAAGCTGAGAATCCTTTTATGCGGTTGAAAAAGAAATCAAAAGAATGGCATTTCGTGACACATAAGAATTATATGACGTTCAAGTTTCCGTGTCTGTAAAGTTTTGGACCCAGCCACACGTGTTCATCCAGGTGCGGTCCGCAGCTGTGTTCACAGCGGCAGTGGTTGCAATGGAGACCACCTGGTCGGCAAGGCTAAGGATGGCTCCTCTTTGGCCCTGTCCAGAAAGTTGACCCACCCCTGCCTTGGACAACCCAGGAGCAAATGTCGAGAGAGGAAGCCTTTGTGAGCCTTTGTGAGCTGGAAATGGCGTTCTGAATGCGACGGGGGGCCTGCTGTTTAATCAGGGAGAAACAGGCCGCTCTGTGTTCTAGAAACATAGCTCTGAGACTTCTTCCGTGGTCTTTTCTTAAACCTTCGACGATCTCTCTCTTTACTCACCACAGGCATGGGATTCTCGAGTCTCTATCGCTTCCCAGGTAAGGACAAGAGGCACTTCTGGGAAACGTTGTGGGGCGATGATTTTACCAGGCAGATGTGTGTTCTAAAAGCAGCTTACCTTTGGCCCAGCGAAGCTTCTAAGAATGGGAAATGCTCTTTAAAGCACACCTGGGTGGGGCAGAGGTGGGTGGAGGTAGAACAGGGAGGGAGGGATTGCAGGGAGAGGAGGGAGGGGGGAGAGCAGGGAGGGAGGGGTGGGGGGTAAACTGGATGAAGCAGAACTGAATCCCACCCCCCAAGTCTCAGCAAAGACGTCACCAGGTGGCTTGGCCTGTTTCCTGCGTGTAGAGAACAGATCCATGGTTTTCAATGGTCTCTTCATGCAACAAATATTTGACTCTGCCCCTCAATAACTGAGTGACCTTGGCAATGACCTCGCCCTTCTGTTCCCCAGTTTCCTCTATGAAATTGGGCTAGTCATTGCCCCTATCACAGACACAGCTATTGTTTGGATTAAATAGTACAGCTAAGGGCTCCAAAACAATGCCCAGCACCCAGCAAACATCCAGTAATGATCAGCCCTAATTACTGTAACACTGTATCAGGTGCTATTCTAGGCGCATGTTACTGCCACGAGACTGATGAGACCCTGCCCTTCCTAGTAAGCTTGAGGGATTAGGTGGGGGGAGGAGAGAAGTGGTTTAGCAGCCAGGGAAGCCTCTTGGAGGAAGAAACATTTCCACTAAGGCCCAAGATCTCACCCGAATGATGAGGAGACAGCTGTGCAAGGAGCCAGTGTGAGACAGTTCTATTTATTAATAAATTCACAGGGGTAGACTTTGCTCTTACAATGACAGGAAATCACCTAAACCAACTTTTTAGACTCTGATCCCAGATTCTCGTTTTTCAAAAGAAGTTCTACAGCGAAATATGCCATCGCCCTGTTATCAAAGTTCAGATTCCCTTCTGTCAGAGGTGCATATCCTAAGTTTATCTGTTGGACTCTTTGTACTGACGAAAGTGAGCTACAAAAACCCCAAAGGATGAACGAGATGGGCTTGGTATAAAACGTGTAGAATTTGCGAAAAGCTACTTCACACTCCTAGGCCGACTCTCCTGTTGCATTAACTCTCTTGTTGAGCAGTCTGCAATCCTTGCAGAACTGTTTCTGAGTGTGCTGCCGCTCTGTCTGGTTCACAGATGTTCTCTACCACCTCATCGTGATGCTGGGCATCTGTGCCGTGTTATAGGAGCCAGCCAGCCAGGTAGATGCGCTCCTCCCCCAAGATCATCTCTGTGGATGACCGACTCACATTTTTTGTGCTGCCAAAAAGAACATACAGGAGACTGCACCATTGGAGAACAGGCAATAGCGCTTTGCCAAAAATGTGTTCCATTGCTTTTTGTGCTTGTGTTTCTTTGGTGACCCCCCCCCCCCGTCAGTCTTGTGACTTCCTGTGGCCATTAGCTCCTGCGGTCCCTCTCCAGCAACTAGGGAAGGAGCCTGCCTTCCCTAATGTCAAGTCAGGGCTGTGGTGGACTCCTTTGAAAGCGGTTCTGATTTCGAAAGACTAGCACAGGCAACCAAGCACAGCTGAGCATTTTGAGGAGCATGTAGGGTACACCCCAAGTCAATGCTGAGCATAGAATGCACAGGGGCAGCCAGCTTGGACCAAGGGGCCTTTGCCATTGATGCTGTCCATCCTAATCTGAGGATCACAGCTGAGCCTCAGGGGCTCCAATCTTTCAAATGATGGAGTCGGAGTGGAATACAATTGCTTTTGCTCAAATCTGCATAATATAAAGGATACAATTCCTGAGATCCCCCAGTGCTAACCCAATATATCTTCTTATAGAGTTCCTTAAATATGTATAAACGTTACACAGGTATAAACTCCTGATTTTTAGTGCTGATATGTATTTCTAAAATCAAATGAAAATGACCAATTTAATAGGAATAAAGCTATAGCAAGAATAAAACTCACATTCACATTAATCTAACATGGTGTGGCACTGGGTAAATGGAGCTGTTCTCACCACTTGACTCCAGGAGAGCCAGATGGGCACGTGACAACCCCATCCCGCCATGGGCCTTGTGATGCTCAATGCTCTCTTTTTTCTTTTAAATTTTATTTTCTTTATTGATTTCAGAGAGAGGGGAAGGGAGAAGGAGAGATAGAAACATCGATGAGAGAGAACATTGATTGGCCACCTCCTGCATTTCCCCCTCTGGGGATTGGACCCACAACCTAGGCATGTGCCCTGACCAGGAATCGAACTGGCGACCTCTTGGTGCAGGGGCCGATGCTCAACCACTGAGCCACACCGGCAGGGCTGTGCTCTCTTTTTTCTATTTGCTCTTCTAAGAAATTTGTACAGAATGAGGTCTGACCTCAGTTAGCCTCTACATTCAAAACCCTATCTGTTTTGTCTCGATAACTTATGATCATTAGAATGGAACCAACAAAAAAATTCAGAAACACAAATGCAAATTTGACCAATGAAATCTCACAGTGCCACACCCTGATCACACTACCCTCCCACCAGTGACCCAGAATATGTTGATATTGGTATTTATACTGTCAACAAAAACTGAACGAACCATCCCTGGCTGAGAATTGGCAGATCCCCTGAGAATGCACTGGAGACCCCAGTTTGAGGCTAGAAGCTGGAGTGAGCTAGAAGTCAGGGGTCTAAGTTCTCTTCTTTTCTTGTACAGACTTAGTTAGTGGGCTTCTAACTGGGAAACACATCCGTTTGTATCTCTGTATTTTATGTTTTTGAGAAGTTTTGAGATCTGTAGTTTGATGGTTCTTTAATGAACTCAGAAATGAAGCTAGTTCTCAAATCTCTGGAGACACAGAGTTTGTTTAGCAACAGGCTAGATTAAAATGACTCAGTGTCGTCTCAGCTGGTCTCTGTGCTGGTCTCAACCCAGTTTGGCATCTCTTCTTCCTGTTAATTTAGAATGTTTGTAGTCAGGAAGGACAGAAGACATATTTTATTGGTTCTAGTGAAAACTCTTAAATAGCATACTCAGAGCCATCATCAAAATTCCTGGTTGTTAGAGTAAAACAACATTGTGTTAGTTTTTCTTTACCTTATGATAATGTTGAATGGTCTTGTATCTCTACCTGGTGCTATGGAATAAATAAAACACCTTAAAATAAATAACCTCTGACTAAGCGCACAGTGTTAATGCACCATGTCGATAGGTACTTTCCCAACTCTCCCCACAGTTTCTACAACTAGAGCTTCTTGGACTCACGTATCTAGACACTCACAGGCCTCCTATCATTCGATCCTATATTTACGTTTCAGGCATTCAAGGATTGGGTTTCTGATGCAAGAAGGTGAAGCCACTTCATATGTTTAACATTTTAGGGGAAAATTCTTTTTGGTCATCCCTGTCTCGAAAGCCCTAATGTCCATCACCGGCAACTGGATGTGTTTTGACTTAAAGTTGACTAACAGCCCATGATGTCTTGTTGCCCTTCATGTCTCATCATGTCTCTATTAAGGTGTTAAGGGAAATCACTCTCCAAACAGCCTCTCACAGCCTCTCTTGCAAATTCTCATTAGTGCTAAACACAGAGACATTTAGAGAAGGAGGAAAGAAGACATTCTCCCTTAGATTTTAGAAAATTGCTCTTATCAAAATTCCTAGTTATTATCCCGAAAGGCTTTCTCTCTTTCTCTCTCAAAACTTGAATAGTATAAAATATATATATATAGACATACATATATACATACACATATATGCTGAGTTCACACATGACATAAATCTCTATTAATCAACTGATATAGATGAGAGATAGAGATGAAGATATATTTATGTGTGTACTCAGTATATATGTCTGTATATATATGCATGTATGCACATGTGATGTATGTGTATGTGTATGCATGTGTGTATATATGTTTTATGTTTATGTGTGTGGATGCCCAATGTTTATGTTAAAATGTTCAGTGAAAAAGGCAGAAGTAGCAACGTTTTTATTACAGGAACATGACTTGTGTGAGCATGTGGGCTGGGGCTGGAAGGAAGCAGACACACACACTCCATAAAAATACAAAGATGGGATCACAACAGACAACTGCATCTGTGTATCATTTTCTCATGCTCTTTTAACGTAACAATATTCGACTGCTTAGTTACTGCTACATGTTTGTGCATACCTCTCTTATCCTTAACAGATTGCATTACTGTGATTTATGCCTCCTTTCTCCAACTAAACTGAGAGCCTAAAAGTGCTCAATAATTCTCCTTGAATTAATTAAATGTTCAGATGGCTGGCTGGCTGGCTGGATGGATGGGGACAGGTCTATCTCTTAAGTGACATCACAGCAGAACTTATTCCCTTTCATGGTGGAACACAGTGTCTGGGATCCAGAAGCCCTGATCCCAAACAAGGGGAGAAGTTAGGAGGCAGAGAAGGTCCACTGTGGCCCGTGGTCCCCACGCTGAGTAGCAGGGGAAGCTCCCCTGGCGCCTTCACATAAATGCCCTCTGCCCTCCCCTCTTCTGAGCATCAGTCAGAAACTCCCGTCTTCGATGCTGAAGGTCTTTGAGAGGAGCCCAACCTGCCACAAGGACGATGGAAGTGGAGTCACTGCAGGTCTCAGAGCTCAGCCGCCCACCTCCGGGCAGAAGTTCTGCCGATGAAAATGCTTAAGAGCTCGACGGAGAAAGGCAAGGATTCCACCACAGCTTTTGTAAAACTGGGTATTAAACACTCTTTACCTCCCTTACAAAGCTCAAAAATATCTCCACAAAGGGAGCTTAGTAGTCAAACTAAAACAAAACAAAACACAACACCCCCCTGGCCCCGTTGGTTACCCCCTCTTAAATTCAACAGGAAAGGTCTCGAACACCATTCGTCATTCCAAGGGCTCCGCTGTATTCGGGAGCAGCTGCACGGAAGGTCATCTGGGCGCAAGGACTTGCAAGGGATGAGAAAGAAGTGCTGTCGATGCATTAGTGGCCCAGACCATCTATTACAGGAACTGCTGAGTAAAACGACACGGAAATCCCATTCTCTGTCGAAGGGGGAAATATTCGTAGCAGAATGGATGGGCTCATTCATCATTGTCTGCTGGAGATTACCCCAAAAAATTAAACACATCACAAATGAAAAATTTCTACTTGATTGCATCCTTGGCTCTGTGAGTAGGAAAGACATTAAGCAATAAATTGAGAATGGGACATGATCCATTTGGAAGCTGGTCAGAGCTCCGACCAGGCCTTCCCCCCACTGCCTACAGGTGTCCTGTCTGGTTGGAGTGGCCTGGTCCTATTGGATTTCAGGGATCGCTCACACCTTAGGTAGTAGAACTTTATCCCCTGAAAACATTCCTGAGATACCTTCTGATATGAGCTCCAGGCTGAGCAGCTGATAAGGAAAATAAGCCCGAAAGGTTAAGGAGCAGTCACCTTGCAAAAGAAGGAAGAACAGGGCCAGACCTGTGGGTGGCCCCTGGCTGCCTCCAGCTTTCCCCTTCTCCGGAATGAAACTGGGTTCACTGCAAATTCACAAGCTAATGAGCCGAAAATATTTGGCAGCTAGGACAGGTTCCCTGGCAGATCTGGGAGCAACAGCCCAGCCCTGGTCCCCCAGGAAATGAGCTCACTCCATCCAGCTCATCCAACTCCACATTTGCTCCAGGCCACAGAACTCTGGGGTGGGACCAGGAGGCCAGCTCGATGGTGCCCCCTACAGGGAGCCTGACTCAGTACCCAGGAATTACACCCCTGAAATGGTATGTTGAATGGATGCCAGACTTTCATGGGACCCCACAAACATCTTTATAGAGAATACTCACCTCAGATGATCTCTGGGACTTCAGCCTCTTCCTCAGTAACTTCGGGGAGTGGAAGAGTGAAGCCTTCTTTGCTTTTCAACCAGAAAGTTGTTTGTTCTCCTTTGCCCTGTGGAAGGCGAAGGAGACAGCTGGTGAACCACGGGGCAGGAGAGCAGACACTCGGGTCTCCCTTGCTTCTTACTGAAAACACCGTTTGCAGCCAGCACCGCCACGAGCCAGGAACTGCTTCAGCGAAGGGAAGGCCTTGTCGTAGGAGAAACCTTGATGATTCGCTTGGGCTTTGCTGACAAGCCTACAAGGCCCTAGGTGGACAGTCAGTGATGGTCTACGAGGAAGGGGCCAATGGAGGCTGAAGTCTGTGCAAAGAACATCTTTAAATAATAATAATAGTCCAGCCGGTGAGGCTCAGTGGTTGAATATCAACCCATGCACCAAGAGGTCACCGGTTAAGATTCCTGGTCAGGACACATGCCCAGGTTATGGGCCCAATCCCCAGCGGGGAGCATGCAAGAGGCGGCCAATCGATGTTCTCTTTCATCGATGTTTCTATCTCTCTCTCCCTCTCACTTCCTCTCTCTCTAAAATCAATAAAGGAAAAAATAAATAAATACTTGTGAAGTCTTACGATGAGCAGGGCCCCAGTGACACACCTCACCTACACACTCACATTTCACCCTTAATCCACCCTTTGTGGGCTGTACTATCGTCCTTCCCATTTTACAGATGCTAAAACCAACCCCCTCATCACACAGCTAGTAAGTAGCGGGACAGGATTCAAAGCAAGGTCTACACTGTTGCTTTCTAAAAAAGTCTCCTCTTCTCTAAAGTCAGTTGATCAAATACAGCTACCAGGGCCAGACGCAGCCAACTGAGGAGCTGATGCCGCCTCTTCCCTTTGACTTCCTTCCCTGGACCCCCACCGCCACCAACACCCGCTGTCATCGTAACCACCCATCACTCCCACGGTGCACATCTCCAAGATTTTCTTGAGAACATCTCACGAGGAGAGCCCCTCCCCACCCAGACAGGGCAACGTTGATCAGAAAGACGAGACTGTGTCACAGTACACGTCAGTGAAAGACTGGACGCCAGCATGGAAGAGAAGGCAGAGGGGAAGGAAAGAGACATGTAAATGTACAGAGATGAAGATGAGGGCCTGTAACCCCCAAACCGATGGGTTTCCATCCCCGCCACCTGGGTGCTATAGGCTCCAGAGGAGGGAATCGAGGACATCTGGGCACTATAACCCCTGGGCTTGCACTTGCTGTTGCCGAGTAGACCAGACTAGACCAGGGTGTTCAAGCGGAAACCAGCAGCCCATCGCTGGCAAAGAGGAGGCATCGGGCAGGGGCCGGGCCGGTGGGCGATGTGGTTTCCTGTCGCAGAGTCCACGGCCGGCCATTGGGGGAACAGTGCAGAATTCTCTCGGGGAGGAAGCGCTGGCACCAGCAGCCTCCACTCGGACCTTGGGATTCTCCACGCACCACAGCACAGAGATCCACGCATCCCGGCTCCTCGTCATCCCCGTCAGAGACCCGAGGGGCAGGTGGGCGCAGGGGGCCCGGTCTTACCTTGACCGGAATGGTGCCCCTCTTCTGCAGGTTGTACCCTCCCAGGGCCAGCAGGGCACCCGCGGTGCTCTGAGACACGTGGATCCGGAGAGCTGCCGTGAACCAGTGATGGTCTATTATCACCTTGGCTGTGACCTCGACACAGACCAGTGGGGCAAGGGGCTGGTGTGGAGAGGGAGCGCCTCCCTGCTCAGATTCTCGGACTGCCAGCAGGTCACAGACAGGCCGGGACACTTGGGCTGGGACCCCCAACCACCCAGGCACTGCTCACACTGTCGGCACAGCTCACACTTGAACAGGTTCAGTTTAGAACCAGAAAATGAAACTGACTCCATGTGCACGTGGGTACTCCCCATGGCTGGGCTCCCACTTTCAAATGTACCCTTAAAATCTTTACTTATAAGCTAAAAGGGAGGTGGTTTCAGTGCAATAAAATTACTATAAAACAAAAAAATGCGCTGTCCCCTGGAGTCCCTGGCCATAGGTCTCTCCAGCATCACCAAGACTATGTGTCAGAGATGGGCAAATTACCACCCACAGGCCACGTCCAGCCCACCACCTGTGTTTACAAATAAAGTTTTATTGGAACATGGCCACACCCATCAGTTCCATATTATAAATGGCTGTTTTCACACACAACAGCGTCTAAGTAGTTGCAACAGAGACTATGGCCAATGAAACCTAAAATATTGACTGTCTGGCCCTGTACAGAAAATGTTTGCCGCAACCTGCTCTTCATTTAATTGACCTGATTACATGCACGCCTGGCTGTTAGAATGGATGGTTCTGGAAGGAGGCAGGGCGTTTACACAGCTCTGCGGAGAGGACAGTGCAAGGCCCCGTCTCCAAAGCCTGTGACCAGTGTTGCCTGAAGTGAATAATGATCTCACCCTGCAAGTGGAAACCAGCAGACAAAACACAAACGAGGCTTCTAAAAATACCCTCTGGCTAAAGACAGCGCAGTGGCGCGGGGATATCGTTTACCACGTGCTGCAAGTGATACCCACGCAGACTGCTGCTTTCCATTCTGGATGCCATGTTCACGGTGTCTCCGAACAGACAGTATCTGGGCATGGTGGTTCCCACCACACCCGCCACCACAGGACCTGCACAGGGAAGGACCGAGGGCAAAACCAGTCTGCATGCCCACGGGCTGGCCCCGAGGCACATCGCCAGGTCACCGAATGCAATGCAGCCGAAATTTGTTAAGTGCCTTGGTGGGGCAATGCTTGGCAACAGGGCTTACACAGAGGCAACTTATGGAACCCACACACTTCTGTTGGAAACAATGTAACCAGTTGTTTTGGACAGAAGACTCATGTCTGCCCCACGATCAACATGCTGAAGCCCTAATCTTCGATGTGATGGTTTAGGAGGCGGGGCCTTTCGGAGGTAATTAGGTTTAGCTGAGGCCATGAACGGTGGGTCCTTAGACTGGGGTTAGTGCCCTTATAAGAAGAGGGAGACACACCAGAGCCCCCCCACCCCTGCCACGTGAGGACACAGCCAGGGGCCGCCGCCTGCAAGCCACCAAGCGGTCCTCTCCGGAACCGACGGTGGGGGATCCTGACCTCAGACTTGCAGCCTCCGGAAAGGTGAGAAGAATGCCTGTGGTTGAAGCCATCGACTTGAGGGTACTTTATTACAGAACCGAGCTGAGACAGAAGCGAGTGACTGTACTGTTCACGCACCGGAAAGGAAGGCGGAGCACCAGCAGCTCGGACAGGGGACTAAGTCACTCCGGTCGGGGTCAGGCTTCACCTTAGTTAAGCCACGGAGGGTAAGTGGGAGCAGGTCCGGCTACATGATTTGCAGGTCCCAGAGGATGAAAATAAGGGACCCCTCATTCAAAAATGATTCAGAATTTCTAGACGGTGACAGAAGAGCATTACGCCAAGTGCAAGTCACTTCTGCACAAGTCACACGCCCATGAGCGACAGAAACGACAGCTCGGAGGTTACTTGCTGCAGCGGCCTGGAGGAAATGCTGCCCAACAGACCTCCCTGGTTTCTGGTCCCCTCCTCATCTTCGTTCCTCACATTGGAGTCTTTGTGTGTCCTTGTTACCAAGCAATCTAGCTAACTAGAAATATGCATGAGGAGATAATTCAACCTTTTATTTCCTCAACATGTTACCATTCAGTTTCAGGGTTTCCTACAAGCCCTGGCCCCGGGGCTGGAATCCAGAGTCCCCGGCCGCCCCCTGGACGCTGAGCCCCCTGCCATCAGAGCCGTCTACCTGTGTGGAGGCCAATGCGGAGCTTGAGCTTCTCCTGAGGCATGTGCCCAATCTGGAAGTGGACGGTGGCACTGAGGAAGTGCAAGGACATTGTGGCGATCTCGTCCACGTGCCGAGTGCCATTGCGGATGGGAAGTCCACTCGCCACCATGTATGCATCTCCAATGGTTTCGACCTGAAAATAAAGCAACTAAATGGCCTCGTGTTCTCCATGAGGGTGGGGTGGGAACAGAGATCAAGGTCCCTCAGTAATGGCCCTGGCTTTGAGGCTGCAGACTTTGAAGGGTCACGTTCCCTAACCTCCACTCCATCCATGTCCCAGCATTTTCTCAAGTCTGCTCTTGTCCTGATTCTTCCACAGAGCCTTCCAGCCCTGAGCCCTTCTCCCACAGTCTCTGCTTTCTCTGAAATCTGATAGTGCTGGTGACTCTGCTTTGCCAACCTAAGTTCGAAACCAGTTAGACAAGCAACGGTGGGCCGATGGGGTCAATCTTGAAGGAAGGATCACATGATTCCATCAAGTGGAATCCATCTAAGCCACTGATGTCTTCACCCTACACAAGGGCTCTTATATACATGTATACATTTGTATATATTATACAAAATGCATGTTTATACATACGTGTAAATGTACATATCTGCCAGATCTGTCCTCTCTCCCCATCCTCCTAATAAAATCAGCTTTCAGACCCCTCATTCACTGCAGAGAATAAATGACATGTCTAAGCTTAAAGTTACACACAGCCCTTCCCAGACACATCTGCACTTCAGCAGAATCCAAAGATGATGCGGTAAAATGTGCAAGTGCAGGCATTAGCGGGTGGTCCAGACACCTCTGTCTCCTGGTTACCACGGACTTGCCGAGCCAACCAGCACACAAGTCTCACTGCTCCTGGGTCACCTCTCCCCACCACGAGCACACCCTTTAGACATACAGACTGGCTTGAGATTGGCTCATGCAAAACATAACTGAGCAGATGACACTAAGAAGAAACTCCCGAGCCGAGCAGGTTCTGTTGGGTGCCAGTGATCTGCAGTTTGAGATTATTTCACACCATCCTTTCCTTCATCCTGAACAGAGGCAACATCTTTGAGGAACACTGGGGGGTAACCGCTGAGGACATGCCACTGAGGAGCATGACTATGCTGTCCCCCAAACCTCCCTGGCCCCAGGGCCACAGCAGAACCCTGAAACCATGGTCAGACTGGTGCACTGTGGCTGCCACCAGGCATGTGCGGATATGGGCACCGGAGTCATGATCTGGCTTCATCTGAAGAGTCAGAAAACACACGGGCCATCATCACCACCACCTGACTGAAGGCAGTTCATCAGTTTTTGTTACCCTCTCCCGGTCCTTTTTACTCCAGGTGACCCTGTTCATGCCTCCCCACAGTGGCACTGGGTGGGTGGGTGGGGTCTCACCTTTAGTTACGAGTCTGATCTGAGTTTGGGAAGCTGCCCTCCTGTGACTTGCTAAAGATCACAGTAACAGAAGTGAGACTCACACACGATCCAAAGACAACCTTTAACAAAGAGTGAACCGTCTGAATCTGAAGGAAATGCATTCAGGAGGGCAATGGAGGAGTTAGCCAGCAGAAGGTCAATGCCTCTCTTAGAAATGAGTTTAATGTGAGATAAACTCATGGAAGGAAACAGAGAGAACAACTGATGCTTCTTGACAAGTACATATATCTGTGATGAATCACGCCCTTTTCCAAGAGAACAAACAGGAATAAAATATTGAGTTTCTGCCATGCATTGAGACTGACTGCCGGCCTGAAATAGAGCCCTCCTCCTGGCTGGTGTCTAGGGCCAGTTCATCCTCACTCACGCCCAGAAGATGTGCCCCCTCACCACCCAGGAGCCAGGTGTCCCACCTTATACACATCGTACATTTGGATGATGTGATCGAATAGACTGTAGAGGTCATTGAGCAGCTTCACAACTTGCAAGGGGGAGCTGAGAGAACAGAGTTTTGTGAATCCAACGATGTCAGAGAAAAAGACGGTTACAGACTCAAAATGTTCTGGTTCCACAGTCCTCCCAGCTATGAGCTGTTCTCCAATGAAGCTGAAACCAGAGAAAAGACCATTATTTAACATTATCATATCCATCTGGTCTCCTACAGACCCCTCCCTACAAAGTCACCGTTTTGCTGCAGTGGGTTAGGTTTTTGATGAACAAAATCCATCATCTAGAGGGATTCTTTTGATACTTGTTTCTCCACCTGCATTGTGTTCAAAGAGGCATTTTAATTGGGATGGGAGGAAGAACAGGTTACATAAATGCCTTTACAAAAAAAGATGTTCTTCCTCAGGGCACTTTATTCCCCCCTAGGGCTATAGGATTTGATTATAAAGATTTAATCTGAAGATATGGATGCAAATGGAAGCATTCACTGATCCATAAGTCAATATTTCAACTTCAATTGACCAATCTCACATTAACACATTCCAATCCTCAACCCTATTTCTTTGCTCAAGACATATGGAGAGGGTGCAGGAATTTTAACAGAGATGCTTCTGCCAAGGGTTTGGAGAGTACAGAGGTGAAAAATAGAGCAAAAGGAAAGCAAGTTTTGAATCTGAAGCCATGGATGTATATTGTATGGTGCAAAGGTTTTGGATACACAAGCTGAAATACGACTAGACTTATGGAACTGGAGCGCCATCTAGTGGTAATTATGTTGGTGCATTCATCATCTTCCAGGTGCAAGACCTATACTCTCATCACCCCAAGCCAAGTCTCCTTCCATCACCATTCATTCCCCATTACACCCTTCCTTGGGTGGTAAACACACTATACAATATACAGATAACTATTAGGAAAGAAATTATCTCAAAAAAACCCATTCCTAACTGATACGCCAAGTGCATTGATTTTGTAGTCATCTGACATACATGAATGAATGATCTGTGAATATTTCATTTTGGGGATTTTATGTAGCATGTATTTTAAACATTGAGAGCAAAAATATTGAGTAAATCAGGTCAAGTACATAAATAAACACCTGAATTCAAAGAAAAAGAAATAAATAAAATAAGTTCTAGGAAATATATATATATATATCCTACACTCTCTATTCCTATGGATTCTAGGGCCTTTGCCTCGATCTCTCTTTAGAGGGTGTACCAAATTACATGCAAAATGCTTGAGCCATTTTATTTTTCATTTTAGTTTTTTGGTACGTGCCCCTAGTAGAAACCGAACCCGGAACTCTCTGGTCTGCAGGCCGATGCTCCAATCACTGAGCCAAACAGGCCAGGGCTGCTTGAGCCATTTTAGAAGAATCTGATGTCCTCTTGGAAAAAGAACAAAGAAAATACTCTCTCCCCTTGGGGTCTCTTAAGCGATGACGTGTTGCTTTCTAGGTGTCTGTCAAGGCCCCGGTTCTCTGGAATACCTGGGCAGTATTGTGGACAGAAGCTTATCCACCTTCGTCTTCTCTGCCATCAGCTGGCTGGTCCTTTCCTCCACCACCTCCTCCAGGTGATTGGCGTACACGTCCAGCTTGCTCACCATGCTGTCTAGGAAGCTCACGTGGCTGTCAAAGAACCCAGGCATTCGCGTCTTTTTCTAAGAACTGTAGGACCATAGAAGAGTGCAGCTTCCAAGTACACATTCCAGGAAAACATGTCTCGCCCTTAAGGTTTCCTCCCTGAGGGCTGCCAACGGACAGCGGGGAAATGACCACGGCAGAGGCCACGTGTCAGGGCACAGCCTGCCCTTTACCAGCTCTGTGATCTTTTTTAAAAAAATATTTAGTGTTGAAAGTATTACAGATGTCCCCCTATTTTCCCCCATTGACCCCTCCTCCCCGCCCCCACCCTCCAGCGCTGTAATCTCGATCTCCACCCTTTATTCCTCTGAACCTCAGTTTTTTCATCGGAAAAATGAGGATAACACAGAGCACCTGGGGCCATGCCTGGAACCCAGAGGACACGCCACACGCGGTGGCGCTCACTGGCCCTCCCCCGCTTCCCAACAAAACTTCACACCACAGTCACAGCCAATCAAAAATGTAGATTTTAAGACAGGTCATTCTTTGTTCTCTTTTCAGATGACAGCCATAAGGGACATTTCTAGACCCTACAGACCCCTGTTTCAGAAGGGTCTTCAGATACATTTAAATTCCTCCTCTCTCAGAAGAGGAGACTGAGGCTCACAGGGGAAATACACTGGCCTTAACGTGGGGGAGCATGTCTTCTGGGTGAAAGGTCATGACCTATCAACTGCCCTGACACAGACCATGCCAAACAATTTTGATGTGGAGGTTGCAGAACACAGGGCTGTGTGTGAAGGGGGCACCGTGGAAGGGCAGAGCCGGGAGCAGACGCCTGACTCCGGCTCAGGGCTTCTCCCAGCTCCCGCCACTTCTAACGTGGCTGTGCCTTCCTGGTTCCACGTGGCAGAAGATGACCTAGCCACCCTGGTTTGCAGCAAGTTACTACTGAGAAATTGTTTGAGAGGCGGGAATAATTGAACTCCACAACCTGCTTTAAGGTCGGCATATAAATCTTTATCTCTTGGTGCAATTCCAGCAGAAATGTCACGAGCCCTGGGATGCTCGTTTGAAAAGGGTTCTGAGCCCCTGGCACAGCCCTCCCAGGGAAAGGGACCTTGATGGATTAGATGGATTAGTGATGTCTGGAACGGACAAAGGAAGGCAATGGAAGTGTGACCCATTTTTAGAACATTTGTGAAATAAAGAGAGAATTTATCAGTCCACTTTCACCAGCACGTAGCACAGTGCTTTGCATGTGGTAGGCACTGAGTATATGATGAATAAATAAAGGAAAGAAGGAATGGAGGGATGAATGAATGAATGAATGAATGAATGAATGAATGAATGAAGCAACCACAGTCGTGCAGATCAGAATTCTAGGGGCTAAATGATAAGGAGAAAATGTCTGTGGCACACCTAACTCACCCTTTGGGACTGGCTTCTCGTAGCACTTTCTTGATGGAAGGGAACGAGGGCCTTTTCTCTGGAGATTCGTCCCAACACGCCCTCACCAGGCCCACGATCTTCCCATTGACCTTCTCCTCCGCCAGGGAAGGTCACAGTGGAACCGATGCCCCGGGGTCTCTGATTCGGCTGATGATTTCTGAAATCCATTTTGGGTTTAGATAGCCAAATGTTGGAACTTTGTGCCATTTAGTACACCTTATTTTAAACAGATGTGCTCTTAAATCTGCAAATGGAGTTTCCAAGTAAATCGAACAGATTTGAATTACAGAGAAATCTGAATATTTTATAAGAAATATTCTGGATCCTCCTGGAAAATGAGGAATTTAAATCCTATCAGTATCCCCCGATCAATCTGGTTTTATTTATTTATTTATTTATTTATTTATTTATTTATTATTTAAATTATTTTTGTTACAGATGTTTCTCCTTTTTCCCCCACTGATCCCCATCCCCGCCCTCTCCCCAGCTTTGTTGTCCATGTCCATTGTTCATGCACACATGCATATAAGTTCTGTGGTTTATCTCCCCCCACCCCCTCTTTTGGGGATAGTCAGTCTGTACCCCTCAATCTGTTTTTAGACTAAATTTTTCCTGATAGAACTTTTCTTAAAGTGAAGCATATCTCTGTATGATTTCAGAAGTATACAGCATTTTATATTAAAAATCCCCAAAGTGGCCCTGGCCGGTTTGGCTCAGCGGTTAGAGCATCAGCCTGCGGTCCAGAAAGACCCAGGTTCGGTTCCCGCTAAGGGCATGTACCTCGGTTGCAGTTTGTCCCCGGCCCCGGTTGGGTCATGCAGGTGGCAGCCACTCGATGTGTCCCTTTCACGTCAATGTCTCTCTCTCTCTCTCTCTTCCTCTCTCCCTCCTACTCTATCTGAACAAAAAATGAAAAAATGTCCTCGGGTGAGAATAAAAAAAAAATCCCCAAAGTGTGCTTTATACAATTTTGTGTTCCATATATAGTCCATAAAAATATTTTAACAAATAATAAATGTTGCCTGCATGTCCGGCCTCTGTGTCCAACTTTATAAACCCACTTTCCTCCACTTTCTCATTGACTTGTACCAAAATTTATTAAACATTTGGCTTAACCTGGTTTTGTAAAGAAAATATTTCGAGAATAATGTAGACATGTTTTGGTATAAAAACGCTGTAGGTACAACAATATAGATGAACCTTAAATGTATATTATTGAGTATAAGCAGCCAGTCTATAAAGGTTTGTTCTGTATGATTCTGTTTATGAGGTTTTCTGGAAAAGGCAAGATTACGGAGACAGGAAACAGATGAGAGGCTATGGGAGTTTGGGGAGGAGAGAGAGCTGAACAGGCGAGGGGCCAGGATTGATTTGAGGGGATGAAACTGGTCAACATAAATAGTTTCGATAATAGCCAATACACGATGCCACCGATTTGCCAAACCCCAGAGAACTTTACAGCACAAGGAGTGGACCTTAAAGGATTCTCATTTGAAAACATCTCAGTTGGGAGCTTGGATGATCCCAAGACAGAGTAGAGACTTGTGACAAAACAGCTGTATTGCAAATGTGGGACATGTGTCATTGATGGGGGTGGAGGTGGCGGGGAGGCCGACTTAGGAAACTTTTGAAACGACCAGAGACTATAAGACTGAAGACAAAAGAAAGTGTTCATAATGACTGCATTCCAGTTGGTAAGCATGCTTCCCTCGGGGGCGCTGCTCAGCCACTCTGAATGTACATGCCCACATACGGGATTGAACACAGAAGTAAATGGATGGTGGGACCAGGGTCTGTCTCACTGCTGCAAAGGGAGTTTATGGATCAGCGATGGGGGAGACTAGAATAAATGAACCACATGGTCATGACATCGGAGATGTCAGTAGGAACTCATGTTTGGCTTCATATACGTACAGATGGGTAGATGTACAAATGTGTGTGCATAAAGGTTAATATCCACACACATCAAAACACCTGGCAGGAGGCTTGTTCAAACACAGAATACAGGCCCACGGTTTCTAGAAGTACTGGATCAGGGCCTGAAAATGTGCATTCCTAGCAAGAGGAGCACACTAGACAGTGCTTCTTAAACTGGATCTTCAACACCACCTGGGAACTTGACAGAAATACAAATTTCTCCCCCGACCTCCGACCTACGGAGTCAGAAACCTCGAGGGTGGGACCCAGCAATTTTGTTTTAACAAACCAGGCAAGTCTGATGCCCACCAGCATTAGAGGGCACCGGTCTGGTGTGCGCAGAGAATGGATATTACTCGGTTCTGGCACATAGGAGTGTGTGTAGGGAAGTACGAGAGGTTCCTGGCAGATGCGTGTGCCCAGGTACACACACATCGTATTGTTTCTGGCTGCAGTCCTGTGTATACCTAGTTCCCTGTGGCCAGCTCTCACTTTGTGAGCAGAGGACACACTGAGGAGGAACCACACCGATCGCCTCAGCCTCCTCCCCACCCTGCTGGGATGGTCAGATGGCAGCTGGCAGAGCGAGGCAGGTGGGCTCCCACCTGGGCTCAGTCTCGGAAGCTCTGTGTGGCTGCTTGGATCAGAAGCAGGTGCACCTGGACTGTCTCCCCTCGGCTTCATTTAGCCCTAAATTAGAAACCGGAATCTACTTTCAAAACAACTACATGCACTCAGAAAGGCTCCCACTTGAAAAAGTCTCCCGAGAATACATCACAATCTAAAGATGAGATTTGAGTCAGATCACTGGGGATGCACTAGAAATGGTAGACAAGGAGGAAAAAACAGGGCGTGGGGGGGATCAAGAGAGAAAGGTGGGCTGGGTGTCCATAGAAACACACACACACACACACACACACACACACCCCTATCTTCTCTCCATGACAGTGATTCTTCACCTGGGGTGCATGTTAGCATCACCTGGGAGCTTCCACAACGCCTGCTGCGCAGACAGGCATCAGAATCGCTGAGGCTGAGATCTAGGCATCAGTAGTTATTAAAGTTCCCCATGTAATTCCAATGTGCGGCCAAGTTGAACGATAACAGTTCCAAGGGGTTACATTCTTTTTTAAACCTTGATCAAATTTTCCTCTATTTCTCACTAATTTTACCTTTAATTATCTGGTGGAATGTGTTAAGAGACAACCTAGCAACAACAACATCTGAATATATCCTTTGTAAGTGTCCCATTGGGTAGCACTTATCAAAAAATTTTAATATATTTTAAATGCATTTACCTCTTTATTTTCATGGACAAAAATCTATCCTGAAGAAATGTTCACATACGTCCACAAAGATACAAGGCGGCTCATTGCAGCAATTTGTAATAGCAAACAACCAAAATGTGTATCAAGCAATAATATATGGTATATCCTTACAATGAAAAATTGTGTAGTCCTTAAGAAAGAACAGGGGGGTTGCCCTGGCCGGTTTGGCTCAGTGGATAGAGCGTCGGCCTGCGGTCCAGAGGGACCTGGGTTCAGTTCCCGCTGAGGGCATGTACCTCAGTTGCAGTTTGTCCCTGGCCCTGGTTGGGTCATGTGGATGGCAGCCACTCAATGTGTCCCTTTCATGTTGATGTTTCTCTCTCTCTCTCTCTCTTCCTTTCCCTCCCTCCCACTCTATCTGAACAAAAAATGAAAAAATGTCCTCGGGTGAGGGTGAAAAAAAAAAGAAAGAAAGAAAAAAGAGGGCAAATTTGTGTATACAGATACAAGGTGAGAGATACTCAGGCAGAGGGGGAACAGCATGTGCAAAGGCCCTGGGGTGGGAATGTGTCTGCATGTTGGAGGTGCATGAAGGCAGCCAGTGTGGTTGAAAGGAAACAGCCACAGGAGATGGAATCAGGAAGGTGTAGTGGGCTGAATGGTGGTCCCCAAAAATACATGTCATGTTCTAATCCACAGACCCTGTGACTGTGACCTTATTTAAAAAGACAAAAAACAAAAGTCTTTGCAAATATAATTGTCTCGGGTTGAGGAGATCATCTTTGATTATCCAGATGGGCCCTAATCCAATGACAAGTGTCCTCCCAGGTGACAAGCAGAGAGAGAGATTTCGAGGAGGATCAACGTGGAGATGGAGGCAGAGATGAGCCACGGGGCCACAGCCCATGAAGGCCGGGCAGCACCGAAAAGCTGGCATGGATCTACCCCTGAGCTTCTAGGAAGCACAGTCCTGGTGAACCTGGATTTTGAACTTTCAGCCTCTGAAACTACGAGAGAATAAATTTCTGTTGTTTCAAGCCAGCAGGTAGGTTCGGGGTAACTTCTTATGGGGGCCCTAGGACATGAACACAGAAAGTCTCCGAGGCTGGTTTCGAGGCCTGTGGTGGTCCTGCAGGCTTCGTGAGCACTGAGTGTCCCCTCCCCGAGGGCCAGCAGGGAGGCTGGTGTGGACAGGAGCACACAAGCTGCCCCATCTAACCGGACCTGGTGGCTGTTACGGACTAGATCCCGTAATTCTGAGCTCCTTGGTGTGGTTTTTAACCAAACAGCAATCATCTTCTAATTCTTTTAAAAAGTATGAATTTTAAAAGAAAAAAATAAGAGTGAAATGAATTGTAAATGAATAAACATTCGGTAAAACAGTCAGTAAGACAAGCATGTACACGCTAAGCCTGAAAACAAGCCTGCCCCGGGGTGCTCCCCGCCTTACCCTCTGGCGTCCCGTCCAGGTCGTCAAAAGGCCCCTGGTCCTGCTGGTGCATCAGCTCCCTCATCAGAATGGCGAAGCTGTAAACGTCTGCCTTCGGGGTGCCGGCCCAGGGAGCCTCGGGGAGACGCAGCAGCTCTGGGGCGACCCAGTAGAGCTCTGGGGGACAGCGAGACGTCCCCTGCAGGGAGGGAGCCCCCGGACGGAACCAGACAGCCCCACGGGCCACCCCGGGGGTGCTCAGGAGACACCGGAGCATCCACTCCTGAGAAGTCAGCCCTGTGCCTGTCACAAGGGCACCCAGGGGTCCCTTTGTGTGAATATAGAGACAATAACCAGGAGGGACGGCCACTAACTTGTTAACAGTGGTCACTCATGGCTATGTGGTGACAGGCGGTGTTTTTCTTTCTGAAATGACTACATACCATTAAATTTATCATTTAAAAGTGAGCAGTTCAGTGGCATTTAGCACATTACAATGTTGTAAAACCACCACCTCTAGCCAGTTCCCAAACATTTCCATCACCCCGAAGTAAAACCCCACGCTCAGCCCTGGCTGGTTTGGCTCAGCGGTCAGAGCGTGGGCCCGCAGACCAGACTTGCGGGTTCGATTCCGGTCAAGGGCATGTACCTTGGTTGTGGTTTGGTCTCCAGCCCTGGTCAGGGTCGTGCGGGAGGCAGCCAGTCAATATGTCTCTCTCACATCAATGCTTCTCTTGCTCTTTCTCTCTCTCTCTCCCTCCCTCCCTCTCATTCTATCTGAAGATAAATGGGAAAATATCCTCGGGTGAGGATTTAAGGAAAAAACAACAACCCCAGACCCAGTAAGCAGTTTCTCCTTGTTCCCCACTCTATCCCCAGACCCTGAAAACCACCAGTCTGCATCTTATCTATAGATTCATCTATTCAGGATATTTTAGACACTTACACTGTTTTGCAGTGACGTGTATAGGTTTAACAGGATGTTGGAGGACGGAGAGGACTGACCAGGAGCAGGTTCCTAAACTGCCCCGTTTTTCTCTGTAACACACCCTGTCCCATGTCACAGGACCTGCCCACTCGTGCTCACCCGCGTGCTGCCCAGAGAGGTAGTCAGGGCTGCGGGCACTGCTCAGCAGCCCTGGGGACGTGGAGGTGAGACTCAGAGCCGCGGTTAGCTCTGGACACGAGGACGAGGCCCCGGTGCTCCCGTGGAAAGGGGCTGGACTCAGACAGTGGCTCTCCCCTGGGGTGCAGATCAGGATCCCTTGGGAGCTTGTCAGAACACGATGCCCAGACCCCGTCTTCAGACCATCTGACTCAGTGGATGTGGGGGGGGGGGGACCCAGCCACCTACACATTCCGAGAAGCTCCTCAAGTGACACAGAGAACAGCACTGCCAACCCCTCCCCCGACAGTGCCGGCCGTCCTCATTCTACACTGAGACTAGGGAGAAGGACGGTGACTTGTTTCTGGTCGCCCAGCTGAACGGGGATGAAAACAGCCTCCTAACTCAGACATCACACCATGACTCACGCCACCGGCTCCCACCTCCTTGGGTGAACAGAGCAGCCACACGCTGCACAGACCCCCCACAGGTGTCTGTGCACACGAGCAGCAGAAACAGGGTCAGGAGCCCCTTTCCCACTCTGCCCAGAGCGCTGGGTGCAAGGCCAGCAGTGGTTACCTGAGTGGTCCTCTGCTCTCTCATTATATGTTCTGTATGTCCGGCCATACTTGAGTTCCCACAGCCCAAATCCCGACAGCTTGACCTGCATGCGACCGTCCACCAGGCAGCTGGCGGGCTTCAGGTTGCCATGGGACCTCAGGGGGCTCCTGTGCAGGAACAGCATGCCCTGGGAGAGTGGAAACGAACACACGAGTGAGAGCAGGTGCCGAAGGACACCTGTGGGAGAGACAGATGGACAGGAACACAGATGCACAGACCCAGGGTAGGGGACAGAGCGATCTCTGTTCATTTGTTCAAGGGCCACTGACATAGCCCCTCACCCAAGGACTCAACCTGGGCACAGACACCCAAAGAGGAGAAAACAATTTCTGGACCTTGAAAGCAAGGCCAACTCAGTGATCAGACCCCTGAGTTCAAATCCCAGCTCTACCACTTAGTAGAGGGCAAGTTAGCTCACCCCTGTCAACCTCATCCTTCTCATCAAAACGAGATGACGATGAACCCCACCTCACAGAGTGGCTGTGGAAATCACTGCAATGATGCACAGGAGACACCAGACATGGGCATGACACAACGTAAATATCCACTTACCGAAAAGTCTGTATATATATGATAAAGAATATGTACTTAATTGAAACAGCTAGCTAAGGGAACTCAGCAAGGCAGTGACTAATAGCCAAAACCTGGAAACAACCTAAGTGACCCTTGATGGATGACTGGATAAAGAAGATGTGGTCCATATCTATATTGGAATACTACTCAGCCACAAACAATGAAATGTTGCCATTGGCAACAACATGGATGGATCTTGAGAGTATCATGTCAAGTGAAATACGTCAGACAGAAAAGGACAAGAACCATATGATTTCGGTCATATGTGGGGTATAAAATGGAAAGCAACAAATTGATAGACATAGACACCAGTATGATGGTTTCCACACGGGAAGCGGGTGGGGGGAGATATAAAGGGTAAGGGGTCGAATATATGGTGACGGAAGACTAGACTTTGGGTGGCGAACAATGTAGACCATTTTGGGTGGTCTACATATTATACAGAGGATATATTATAACACTGTACACTTGAAAATTATATAATGTTATTAACCAATGTCACCCCAATAAGTTTAATTTTTTTTAAAAAAGAAAGGCAATGATTGTTCTCGTTCAGCAAGGAGAGGAGGGGGTGGGGAGTCTTTCCATGGGCAAAGAGGGGCCTGAAGAAAGACCTAGAGTTGGGAAGGAAAACAGTTATTTGGAAAGGGCGGGGAGAAAAAGACATCGATTTGGAAAATGGGAACTGTCGTATTTGAAACCTGAGTAGAGGCAGATGTCTTTATGTCTCTGAGTTCCCAGGACAGACCTCGCATCAGTGAAACGAAGGTGGAGGGAAAGGGCTGACCCCTTCCAGAAGCCAGCAGTGATCCTTGGGGGAGACAGAGGGACCCACTGTTGCCGTTTTGATTTTACTTCCTCATTTTCTCAATGGCTTCACGACGAAGCATTTGAATAATGTTCATTCAGTGTTGCCAGTTTCTAAAGGCTCTCTATACCTTTCATCTGAATCTCTCGATCGTATTTTCAGAATCCTTTGTTTGGAAACTGGCAGAAAACCAACGGCCTCGGGGTGTCCCAGGTGCAGGGCTGCTGCGGAGCCCAGGTATCTGCATCAGGCTGGGCAGCCTGGGCCTCCTCACACCTGCCCGGCCGCGAGGCTTCTGAGCGAGAACAAAAACGACAGGCCTCTTTCTCAGGGTTTTACCAGAATTTTTTTTTTAAGTTCAGATGCTAACTTTATGCCGGGTAGCGATCTAAGTCCCTCACTTAAACTAGCTCATGCAATGCCTAGTGACCCAGAGAGGTGGGTGGTATGATCATCGACCTCATCTTACAGACGAGAAAAGGGAGAGGTGAACGTGACCCAGGTCACACAGCCGGCGGCAGGGGAGCTGGGCTGGGGATTCTGCAGGGGGTTCCCAAGTCCAGCAGCTCACCCAGCTGCTCCTTTGCTGATAAAAGAAGCCCATGAGGGGCAGAGCGAGACGGGATTATGTTAGCCATGAGGTTTGGGGACGAACAAATAAGTAACCATAAACCTTTTTTTTGAGACTTACTTTGCACTATGCATTAAAGTACTGGGAACAGGGGACCTTCTACATATCATTTATCACATTTAGCCTTTCCTGAGGTAGGTGACGTTCTCCTCTCTGATGCACAGCGAGGACACTCAGGGTTTTAAACTCCTCCCAAGGAGTGGGGGCAGAGCTGGGACATGAACCCAGGCTGGGTTGCTTTCAGAGCCCAGCTACTTCCAAACCACTAGGCTTTACTGCTTCCAGCACCACGGGTGATGGTAGAGGAACGGGAGGGTGGGTCAAAGTGCACCGCATTCTCTTAAAACCCTTGTAGAGAACAGCCAGGTTCAAATGAACCTCAAGCCCAGCTGAGAGGGTGACTCACCCACGGGCGTGGCCAGGAGGAAGCGCCGGCCCCAGGGTTCCTGCACACCTTCGGGGCTCCCGAAAGGCGACTGCACCCACAGACAGGGTCCTTGGACTTGCTGGGCACCAGCTCAGGGACTCACCTCTCCCTCCAGCAGTGATGACAGGCTGAGTCACTTTAGCAAGAGCCCTAAGCCAACACTGCATTAGAAATACCAGCTAATACAGAGAGCAATAAGGAAACTTGCAGGACGGTGAATATACCACCCTCGCCCCCTGGCCCCTGAAAATCAGGAGGGCATATTCCTTTATCAATGTTGCTTGCTTGTTTTTTGAGATAATAAAGTTGAATCACATTTTGGAAATGCAACCCAGCCTGGAGGGGCCTGGCTGGGGCTGCCTCTGGAATTTCCCCAGGGAGGCTCCCACTGGCCAGGTCTGGGCTTGAAGTCTGGGGACACCTGTGTCCAACCCAGAGTTCTCTCTGACCTCACAGAAACCTCCCCATGCGTCAGGCCTGCGTCTGACACACATGACCATCCCGTCTTGCTGGTGCCAGGCCCAGCCTAGGCATGAGATGTTTTACACTGTGGTCACCACAGCTTCCCTCTGACATCCAGAATATTAACAGAACTCATGCCATTAGGGTGTAAGTAACTTGTTCGGGGATGCTTGGAATCCCATGTCTACAGTCCTTTCCAGAAGAGGGCCTGAATCTCTCTGTTGCAGTGGTTGTTTTCCATCATGAGCCTAGGTACATTGTTAGAGAACAAAGCACGGTGAGAGGTGCATGATTTAGGTGCCAGATTTTATGCATTTTGGCCATTCTATCACCTACCCATTTACTAGTTACGTTTATCTCCCTGTTAGGAAGTTGGGGGTGGCCCACAGGTCTCCTATCTCTGGGTCCACATCTGTGCCCTCTGGAGCTTGGCAGGGAGGAGACGTCACACTCCGCTGTGGAGACAGATTGGCTGTAAGCCCCAGCTGGGGAGGCTACTTGACTCCGCCAAGCCTCCTTTTATTTCCTCTTGAAATGGAGTAAATCTTAATATTAATATTGGAGTTGATTAATTAATAATAAAGTTCATTGTGAATGACTTAGAACACCATTCACTTGAAACGTAATGCAAGCTACACATATAATTTTTAATGTTTTCATTAAACAGATGAAACATCGATGTGGGAGAAAAACATCCACCAGCTGCCTCCTACTGGGGATCGAGCCTGAAACCTGGGCATGTGCCCTGAGCGAGAACTGAACTGGGACCTCTCAGTCCATGAGATGATGCTCAATCCACTGAGCCACACTGGTCAGGCAGGACTTGTTTGTGTGGTTGGTATGTGGTGGCCAGAAGTTCAATCTGGCCCACAGAGGTTGGCCCAGTGCCTGGGTTCATGTGGAAGTCACCCATGAGCTCCGCGAGGCTGCAGTCAAGTTCGGGTTACTTTTAGTCCCCTTTCAAGGAATACTGGTCGAGTAATTCACCTTGAAGTGCCTAAATGTACCTTGACCTAGCTCACTGTGACGTCCTTAACCAGTCTCATCCTGTGCAAACTCCATTTCAAGAGAAGATGATCCTTCCAAACCAAAGTGTCACGCTGTCCTTCCAGCACAGAGTAGGGGACAGACTCAGTGACCCGGGATTTCCCTCTTTACTTTTCATTCTCACCCACCCGGCATTTCTCCAGAGAAACTTTTGGCTTCATGCTTCTTGAAAGCCAAATGCCCACACTCAAAGGCTGAGTCTACTGGGCATTCATACCTTGGTGAGAATTCACTAGCTTTCTCTTCACATCCCAAATAAACGACACTGGCTGTTTTGAATGGGGCTGAAGACAGATCATGGGAAGACAAGAGTACTTCCCTGGGTTTGCTGGGTAGGGACGGGGAAGTGGATGAAGGGAAGGAGAGAGGAGCCAGTCATGGAGTAGGGGATGCCATGTCATGTTCTCCTATTTTATAACTGTACCACTGCCACTTCAACAATTTTATATGTACATTTCCTGTTTTCTGTTTTTCTCTCTAGCTAGATTTTAAGTCATTTAAAGTTAGAAACAAGTCCTTGTCTTCCTACAAAAGTGCCCAGAGTAAGATAAATCATTAACAGATGCTCAATAAAGTTTACTGAAATAACAGAGTCTGCCCAGTGTCGCCCATAGGGACCCAATCACGAGGAGGTTGCTGTTTGTCTAACTTGCTTTCCATCAAGGCCTAGGAAATCAAAGTCTCACCTGGCCATTAAGACTCAGCTCCTTAGAAACAAAGAGCAATTAAATCCTTGAGAAAGAAAAGCCTTTGGATGTCAAGAGGCCCACCTCATCCATTAACCTACAAGGAGGCTGAGGTCCAGAGAGGGGACCAAAAGTCAAAGTCACTGTGAGTCACTGGCCCTCTACTCCAGAAGGGCAGAGCGTGGGTTTCACCTTTGTACCCCTCACAACACCCAGGCTGGGTCTTGCCCACAGGAGTCTATTGGCTGATGGATGGACTATCGATTGACACAGATGATGACCATTTCTGATGGTTGTCAGGCTAAAGGGATCTGTCACCAGAACCCAATCCCAGGTCATTGGCTTGGATTCCTCTTAGGATAAAGCAGATGCAGCGAGTTTAGAAAGAACAGCTGTCTTTTAGCCCAGGTTCAGAAGAACAGCCTCGGTCCATATTGACCTGACTTATCTCCCATCTATAAAATGGGGTGAATAATAGACCTACCTTATATTTTGTTGTGAAAATTAAGTAAATTAATATAGACAAAGTGCTAGAAAGTAAGCATGAAATATATTAGCTATTTTTTTAAAAATATTATCCTCTGTTTTTTATAGCCACCACAGGCTTGTTTGCCCAAAGTAAAGATTCTGGTTGCTTACCTAATAAGTCCAAAGGTCTGCACCCCTTGCGGAACAGCTTTGTGGTTATTGTGGCACTGACCCCATTTTTCTGGGGAAAGGAATCGGGGACTGGGGAAAAGGAAGGATTTTAGGAAACCCTTCTCCAGCTTGCTTTATGTTCTCGTAATTAAATTTTCTTTTGGGTAAAACGTTCTATTCTAAAATGTAAATACCCTGCTCTTTCCCGATTGGGTAAACCTAGCATCCCTTCCAACTTTAGTGTAAAATACTTTACTCTCTTATTATTTACTTGAGATCAGGGAGAGAAAAAAAAGAATGGGAAATCTGATTAAAGTGGTAGATTTTGGAAGTGGGATCACTTTGTTTGAAGAGGAGATCTGAGAAGGACCAGAATTTTCGGGAAAGATTACAGTTTGATTTCATCCAAGACACAGAACAATTCAAAAACACTATGGTATTTGTTCTTTAAATAAGTATATGTTATACTCACATTGACTATGTCATATGCAAACGAGAGCTTGAATATCCAGTCTATTTCGTTATCTGAATTTCTCAAAATATCCTGAAAAACACAGTTATTTAAAATATCGCCAGTGATTCAACCTGAAGCACAGTGAGTTTCATATGTTAAATGAGTTTGGTTCCAATACATTGGATGGCTTTGACCAGAACTAATAATACAACCTGAGACAGAGCTGAAAAATTTCCCAAGAAATATCATAACCTGACTCAATATTGAGAAAGTTATGCAGTCTTCAGTTTTATAAACACTTCCTTGTTCCTGACACAAAGTGAATGGCTACATACCATAGGTAGGATGGGCCCAGGAATGCAATTCAGGAGTCCCTAGGACAGCTAAGGAGAAGAAACCGAGCTCAGTGGGCTTTTCACCCGGAACAAAGGAAACCAGACACTTGGCAACTCCACCGGCTAATCTGATCCCCTGCAGGCAGCCCGACGAGGTAATTCAGGTCTTGCAATGAGACCAGAGAGGAACTGCTCTTGGACGAAGGGGCAAAAGCTCTGATAAAGCTCATCAGCTGCTACTAACCAAACCAAAGGTAAGACTTGCTATTGTACTTACCTTAAGGCTTCCTTTTTTGCAATACTGAGTGATAATGCAGATGTTGGGTGGTTCTGTGCAAACACCAAAGAAAGGAACAATGTTTTCGTGCCTTAATTCATACACCTGAAAACAATGATGGTAATAATAGCTTATGATTATAGTATGTCTTCTGTGCTAGGGACTAGGCTACATGCTTTACACACTTTAATTAATTCTCACAAAGACCCTATGAGGGAAGAACTATAACTGCTCCATTTTACAGATGTGGAAACCGATGCTCAAAAGGTAAAGTAACACGTCGAAGATCATACCACTTGCTAGTGGCAGAGTTGGGAGGCAAACCCGGGTAGTCTGCCTCTGGCATATAAACAAGAGGAATGATCAAAGTCTAACCTGAGCCCGGGGATTAACTAAAAGCACCTCACAGTCAATAGACCCAGCCATGCTGCCTGGTGTTGATGGCGGTCAATACCCGTGTGTGGGCTGTGGCAGATCACAGATTCAGAGCAAGAAGTGAAAGCAGCCTCTCCTAACTTGGTCCACCCCCCACCCCCTGACAGACAGCCCAGACGTTTGACCTCAGACGTTTTGACCTGACTCAGGCACCCAAGGCCTGGGAGCCCTCCTAGCCTTGCTCATTTCCCTTAAATCTTCCTGGTCTTAGTTCTGCATCTTCGTTCTTTGTGTCTCTGATGGCTGCTCACCTTCCTTGAACCTGCTCCTCAACGGAAGTCAGGTTCATATGACTTAAGGGAAGATTTAAGGGAAATGAGCAAGGCTAGGAGGGCTCCCAGGCCTTGGGTGCCTGAGTCAGGTCAAAACGTCTGAGGTCAAACGTCTGGGCTGTCTGTCAGGGGGTGGGGTGGGGGCCAAGTTAGGAGAGGCTGCTTTCCACCCATGCTCCTTTGGACAGGGGCCACTCCCACCACAGGTGGGAACAGGAAACTGGCAAGGAGAGCCAGAAAACAGCGCCACTTTGTCTCCTCCCAGGGTGGGGACCTCACCAGACGGATTTCCTGCAGCACAGTTGGCTTCCTGATCCAGGCTTCTGCTTGGTCACTGACATAGCAAATGGCCACATGGTTTCCCTGGAACCAGAGACAAAGTAGAATGTGATCCAGAAAAAGCTGTACTCAGTATGAGCTAGGAAGAGGAGCAGGAAGACTGGGAAGAAACAGCCTATGAGAAGTCTCATCAAGCTCCTCACTGCCCAAACCAGCCCTAGGGTGGCCCGTGCTAGGTCCAGGTGCTGAGCCAGCTGCTCCGCATCCGATCTCATTTAACAGGCATCCCAGGCCAGCACGGTGAGAACAATTAGCCCCTTTCCAGAGGGGGTCACTGCAGTTCGGTAACCTGGCCGCGGTCACACAGTTGTAGCTAGGACAGCCAGAATCGAAACACCGGGCGCCAACACTACGCTTTTTCTATTATACAATAATGTCTCGTTGCCATTCAGGGGAATAGTGAGTTGAGGCCATAAGAGTAAGTCTGGGATGAGATACCTGGTTCAAAACCCATTTCTACCACTTATTACCGACATAATCTCGAGCAACGGACTTAACCTTTCCAATTTCCTCATCTGTGCAATGAAGATAAAAAATAACACCTACCTCATAGGGTTGTTGGCGAGGGTGAATCTTAAAATGTTAACACTGCTAACTCAATGCCTGGCACATATTAAGTTTTTAGTAAATGGCATATCTTATTGTTGTTACCTATTGAGTCTGCTTTGACAGAGTCACTTAATCAATCTCCACAAAAATATACCATAACCTGGAAAGGTCTGGGTAGAACAGATGGAGCCTAGACACAAGAGAAGGTAAGCCCCAGTATTAATTAAATGTCAACCCAAGATCTGCCACTTTCACTGTGGGATTAATTGCAAAGAACTCAGGACTGTGATGAGTTCCCAGGAGGAAGGGATCCCTGTGGGATGAAGGAAAGGCTCCTTGGAAGAGGTGATGCTTGCCCTGGCCGGTGTGGCTCAGTGGATTGAACACTGTCCCATGTACCGAGAGGTCGCCAGTTTGATTCTTGGTCAGGGCACATGCCGGGTTGCAGGCTCAATCCCCAGTAGGGGTATACCAGGAGGCAGCCAAATTTCCTCTCATCAGTGTTTCTCTCTCTCAAATCAATAAAAAAAAAAAAAGGTTTAAAAATTAAGGGAAGAAGTGGAGGTGATGCTTAAACTGAACCTTGAAGGATAAGAAGATTATAGATGTGTGGGGGAGGGACAGCAGACATGGCATCTCTGAGGGTGAAACATACGTGACATAATCAACCAGACCAAGACCAATTGGATGCATGTAAGATACTGGCCAAGAAGGGGGACAAAGGTTCTGAAAGTAGGCTGGGGCTAGGCGGTAGAGAGCCTCGAGAAGCTTTCACAGTCAGCAGACGCGGGGGACCCAGTGATGGTGTATGAGTGAGAGGAGGGGACACGTTTTAGGAAGATTAACCAATGTTGACATGATGTTGGCTTCCATCTCTAAATGGCTAGTGGACCCTAACAGGCAGTTTTCTGTGAATGGAGGGGTCCTCGGGGTTTTATGGGTGATAATATGCAAGGAGTGTTCTTGTAGTTTGAAAACACAAACAAGCACACAGGAAAATAGGTTTGGTTGCCTAGGGAAGGATTTGGCTCCAATCTTTTCTAAACCCAATTTAAAGCAAGGAGCACGTTTTCCCTTCCTTGCAGTGTTCTGCCCAACTCCTCGGGACTTCCATGTCAAAGAATAAATACAGATTTTTTTCTTTACAAAAATTTTCCCCAGGGGACTTGACCTTCTAAAGGAGTTGCTAGGCACAGACGGCCATGTGGTCAGGGTACGGCAGAGAGGGTGAGAAGGGGCAGCAGGAATTCCGCTGCAGGGTTCAGCTGGTGTATACCTTAGAAACATCAATACCCATGACTGATTACCAGTGCTGGGGTACCAAAGTGACGTGATCCATGCTCTAGGACCGTACCGTCCAATAAGCTAGCCACTAGCCCTATGCTGCCAATGAAATGAAAATTATATACAATTTAAAATTCAGTTTCCCAGTCACAGTAATGTTTCATAGTCGCATGCTGTTAGTAGCCACCATGCTGAACTGAGCAGATTTGGAATATTGCCATATTCATGGAAAGTTCTATTTGACAAGGATGAGTCGAATCCAGAAGCCAGCATAGGAATCACCTAGGACTTTGTTAGGGAAAATGCAGAATCTCAGGCCCCTCCCCAGAACTGCTAATCAGAATCTGCTTTTTACTTTTTTTTTCCTCCAAAATCAACTGGTGCCCTCCTGTATGACCCTGACCAGGGAGCAACTGAGGTACATGCCCGTAGCTGGAATCAAACCTGTGACCCATTTGTCCGCAGGCCGACGCTCTACTGCTGAGCCAAACTGGGCAGGGTCAGAATCTGCATTTTATACCGTAGAAGCATCAATACCCATGACTGCTTCATCAGTGCTAAAGTAATCCAAAGTGATTCATAGGCACATAAGGTTGAGAAACACAAATCGAGTCAGAGGACTACCAGGCGTTTACCTGGAGACTGCCCTCTTATTCAGAATGCCCTGCCTGACAGAAGGGACATGCAGAGCACGGGACAGACACACAGCCTTCTTGCAGCCACCTTGCTCTCAGAAGTACCTCATAAAGCCCTACTGGGGCATACAAGAGCTCTTCCCCCTGCTGGCTCTTGACAAAGGAGCTGGAGTCCCCAGACGTCTTCACACTGGACGCGTTGCTGCTGTTCCCTCTGGACACAGGTGTGCCTCTCTGGGATGGCTGCAAGACAGGACACAGTCCAGGTGCTCAGTAGCGTGAGCAACTAATGAAGAGGCCATGCATTTTGTAGAGGAGGAAAATGAGTATCAAGGTCACACAGATAATGAGAGAATCAGGACTCGAACCCTGACCTCTCTAGCCGGAGGTGTGAGGGTCTAACTGCTACACGCATCACTCTTGCGTCTGTATCACCATGGATAGTGCCAGGGCTAAGAGGCAGGGTCTGGGGCCAGACTGCCCAAAGTCAAGTCCTGGCTCTGGCACTTAACTAGATGTGTGACCTGCTGCCGGAGTGATTTTCCTAAATAAACATCTAACCATGTCACCTCTAAGTTGAATACACCCAGCACCTCCCCAACACCAGGAGAATGTATTTAAAGCTAAAGAACTTTGTTTTGCAAGGAGAGCCTTACCTGGGACCCTGATGCAGAAACTAGGAGAATCAGAGCTGCTTTGGTTGGAGAAGGAAATGAAGGGCTCAGAGTTAATCCTACTACACCTGTACCCTTATTCTACTATTCACCCCGTGACCAGGCCAGTGAGCCCCAGAATCCCCAAGGACATCTGAAAATGACTTCCTAATAAACCCCAATCTCCTGGTCTTAGCATATTGGAGCCATGACTTGGTATCTGCCAAGTCATCTTTTTTTTAAAAAAAAACTCATAACTCTTGTATTAAATGAATAGTATATGTAAGAATACCAATAAAAGGGAACTAATTCTATAAACCACAATTCTGAAAGTAAAGTCGAGATAACAGGAACAAAATATATATATGAGAGGAATGCTTGATTTTGACCCATAATGTGTTCTTTATCTTTACAATTAACTTAAATGCCTGTTAGAACCAAACTGTATTCCTTGGTTTAGTGCTTTTTAAAAAAGTGACAACATTCTAGATAGAACACTTTTTTATTTTTATTTTTTTGCTTTGAGATGTTTAAGATTCACACATTTGTTCTGATACATAGATCCTGATTCAATAGCAGGTTGACATATCCTGTTATTCTTTTAATATCTTGAGTACCATGTTATGCCTGAGAAAGTTCTAACTGAAATTGTAAAACTGCTGAACTTTGGAATACAATTTATTTCGGTTGTGGGTTTTTAATAAATTGAGCTGAAAGTAAAACTGACCCCATCGCCCCAGGAAAAAAGAGCTCTTATTAAAAAATAGAAACTCAAGTCTATCTTTCCAGACGAAAGAACATTTCTGCTAAGGCAATAAATGCTCCAGAATAATCAATATAGGCTTGCAAAGATTACAGTGTTTGATCAATAATGAAAACAAAAGAAAAAAGAAAGGAAAGAAAAGATACTTAAAAATGTCAAACTAAAATATGTATAAAAGACAGTCCTGGTGCCCTGGCTGGTGTTGCTCAGGGGCTAGCACATTGGCCCACTGACCAAAGGGTCGTGGGTTCGATTCCTGGTCAAGGGCATGTACCTGGGTTGCAGGTTTGATCCCTGGCCCTGGTCGAGGTGCATGTGGGAGGCAACCAATAGATGTGTCTCTCTCGCATCAATGTTTCTTTCTCACTCTCTATCTCGCTGCATCTCCCTCCCTCCCTTACACTCGCTAAAAAAAAAAGAAAAAGAAAAAGAATCCATTGGAAAAAACTATCCTTGGGTGAGGATTAAAAAAAAAGTCATGGCAGTGCTTTTTGAAATTATGTAAATGTTATGTATTTATCAAACAGTGGTTCTACCATGTGTGCCAAAACCCCAGCTCCGAGCACCCCACACCTTGGAATACCCGGTGATACTTCTCTCCTGGTCACCACTAGCAAACCCACTCTTCCCAAATGTCATCTCCTCTCTGAAGCCCTCACCATGCTGAGGTACGGAATTCCTCCATCTGCAGGGCTTCTGCCTCATCCTTAGGCACCTCTGGGAGCTTCGCCTCCCTTGGCTGCAGCTCATTCGCCGTGCGTCCCACACGTGAGCCCCACGCCGTGAGCCCCACGCCATGAGCCCCACTCTGAGCTCTGCTTGACCTATAGTAGATGTGCAACATGTGTGTGTTGAGCAAACGACCCTTCCTGTGTTAGTCGTCAGTAGATTTGTGTGTGTGTGTGTGTGTGGTACGTGCCCCTAGCGGGAACCGAACCCAGGACCCTCTGGTGCGCAGGTCGACGCTCAACCGCTGAGCCAAACTGGCCAGGGCAGTCGTCAGTAGATTAAAAGAGCTAATATGCTTCTGAAGACAGATAGATGCTTTCCAGAAAACAGCTTTAAAATTTGAGCTGACACCCACAGGGTAACAGGGCTGAAGGGAATTTTAGAGACCATCTGATCATTTTAAGTATTCAGTAACTGAGGCCCAGACATGATGTTCCCAGAGATATTCAGCAAGGAAATGGTAGGCCTGCAACCAGAACTCAGGGCTCAAAACGCTCCGTTAAGCGCTCACTTTATAAATGAGTCAGCCGCTGCTGTCCTAAGCTCCGGGTTGAGGTCCCTTCCACAAAGCACCAGAAGTTAGCAGGAAAGTGGACGTCTGGACCAGGTGTGGCCTTACCTTGTCCTGGGGCAGAATGGTGATGTCATTATACTTGATCTGCCACCAAATGTTTCTATTTTGCCTCTGCTGTTTTCCCTTCTGCATCCTTAAAATCAGACCTATGATGACAGTCCCCAAGATAGTCATCAGGAAGGCCATCGTGAGAATCACAGCAGTTGTACCTGGAGGGCACAGACATATCATTACTCAGGACTGCCTAAGAGTAGAAGTAAAAACATCCTTGACCCAGCCCTGCCTTGCTGAGCAGATGCATCAAGGCACCAGGCAACCCTTCAGACTTGTCTCTTCCAGGAATGCTTTTCTGACCTTCCCTCTGGTTCCCATGGCAACTGCGCTCACTTCCTCCTCTATAAACTTTCCTTGTAGAGAAATAAAAATGATGACTTCTAATACTACTGCCACCACATTTTATTAAACATTTATTATGTGCTCTCCTTAGAGTTGCTTCTCAGGTATGATCCATCTAATGCCAGGGTTGGGTCTCTAACCACTGGGAAACACTCCCCTGTCTAGACTCTTTCTTCCTCCTTAGAAATAAAGTTCCTGAACTTCAAATCTCAGGAGCTGAGTTTCCCTAGAGCAGAGGTTCTTAGTGGGGAGGTGGGTGATGCTGCCTCCCTAGGGGATATTGGTAACATCTGGAGATACTCGGGGTGGTTACAGCTAGAGGGTACCACTGGCGTCTGATAGGGGAGGCAGGGATGCTGCTAAGAAGCCTGCAATGCACAGGACAGCTCCTCTACCTTGCAACAACAAAGATTATCCCACCCAAAATGTCAATAGTGCCGTTGCTATTGAAAAGCCCTGCTACAGAGAGTCTTTTCCTGCTGTGGCCTCCAGGAGCCCACACAGACCTGTAAAAGTGAGCTCACTTTCACAGAGCTCATTGGAAAATCCACAGCCAGGTCTGTCTGCAGGAAGAGAGCCGCGAGGCCAAGTAACAGTGGAGAAATTCCTCATGCGTCTTAAAAAAAGAAAAGAAAAGAAAAAGACAATTAAAGGCCAGTGCCCACTTGATTTATTCTATTTGTCTCTACCTCAGGTATAGCACGGGCAAATGAAATGCACATGTCATTTGCAAACAGTAGGCCTTGGTTCCTTAATTCAAATGTCCGCTGACCCATCCAATTTCCCACCTCACCTTGACTCTTCAAATCCAGCCTTCAGGTAATCTAATTCATGAAAAAGCAATATCTTTTTGCAGAGGAGGATAGCTGATTCAATCTTTTGATTTAAACCATGTCACTTCTGATTTAAAAGATGATGTGCCAATTCTCCAGTGTTGCAGGGACTGTCTCCCATGTTTGACATAGACAAATCTTGTTATGGGGCGCCTCGCCATTTCGCAGAGCAGAACATCCCCCTGCATGGAGAACGCTTGTTTCCACAATCCCGAGGCCCTCGTCTGCCACGGTTATTTTATCTCCTGGGCCAACCCATTTTGAGAGATTAAAATTCCGTAAGTGTAGGAGAGGAAAAAGTGTCAAATCAAATCTGGATGGGGAATGGCGATGGTAGAGGCACGTAGAAATTGAATTATGCTTTATCCTTTCCGTTTCTCATTGATTTATGCCGAGCGAACGCTAACAGAGACTTTTCCTGGGGCTTCCTGAGGCCTGGAATCCACAGGGCTCTCTGCTTTCAAGTCAGCCTGATCCGAGGAGTATTTCCCTGACTGTGCTCCGCCCCCCCCCCCCCACTGCACCCCCCACCCCGGGCCAGGGCTCCTCTGTGGGACCACGGGCCAGTTGACTTCGCCTCCTGGAGAAGCAGAGGAAGCCCGGGTCCCCCTGGAGGTGCAGTTAGAGGATACTGTGTGCAGGCTGAAGTGGCCAAGCCATTCCCACAGTCGAGGGCACGATCACTGATCCAGTCGATCCGTATGCTTTCGAAGTGCACCCGACAAGGGATGGTGGATTCCGAGAGCTGGATCACAAACTGGTCTTCTAGTAAGACCCCAGCCCGCCCTCCCCGCCCAGAGCGCCTCCTGTAGCACGCTCTGGCCCGCCAGTACCTGATTACTCTCTGAGAGCTGTCATAGTGGAGCACAGGAAGGAAGAGGGACCCGTTTCTGGATTTCTGCAGGGCGTAGACGGAGTAATCCATGCGCCTTTCTCCCTGGGAGTCCACGAACACTGGGCCAGTGACTCCTGGAGAGAGAGGAGACCATGCATGGTTAGGGAGGACAGAGAGGAACTCGGGACTGAACTGATGCCAGCGAAGCCCCCTCCCCAGCAGCCACTGAAAGCAGCGTGAGATTTTTGCCATTTCAGGGAATCAGAGAGGGTCAAGGAGGAGAAGGAAACAAATAGTTGAGAGGTGGTACCCCAGTGGGGCGCAGGGCCACGTTGGGCAGGCGGATGTGTTCTGTTCGGCCTACCCGGGGGAGACCAAGCCAGTTTTTTTTTTTTTCAGTTTCCAACTAAGACCCAAGATTTATTTTCTTAGAACAATCAGGTGCGACAAAACAAGGCCAAATGACGTGGAGGCAGCTGGCCGAGACTGGGGACGGCTGCCTCCTCCTGGCGCCGGGTCCTCCTCACCCCGCCCCGCCCCGAGGCAGAGCTGCCAAGCTTTGCTCTGCCCGTTCCTCCCTCCGGGTGCTGGTGTGAGCTCGGGCACTGGCGTGGCGCTCAGTCCTGGCCGTGTGTTCTTTGTTCTCACTTAGGATGAGGTCAACCCATGCACATCCGAGATCTCTTCCACCCCAAACTACATACAACCCGTGCTCTGACACAGGACGTCCAGCCGATGCATTCCCGTGGGGACAGGACTCAAAATTACCATCTATTTAGTACCTACTACGTGCGGGGCACTGCAGGATGGGCCCGGTGACTGCTCACGCCTAGTTCCAGCAGGCCCGCGAGAGGAGGTGCCAACATCCCCTCCTAGCAAGAAGGCTTGGGGGGAAAACCCCTAGTTTCCAGGCAGGAAGAGCAGGCCTATTGGGTCTCAGGGGCCATGTTCTTCCCACCACCCCACACCTCCCTGCTGTGCACATGCGCGCTGGGGCACTTAAAGTAGGGGTGGAGCCCAGCTCCCCCCGAGGTTTGCACAGGAAAGGGGCTGGAGCCTATGCAGCCGCCAGGGCCGCTGCTCTCTGTGTAGCGTGTTCACTGGGCGAAGAGCGGATGGGGCCTCGGTTTCCCCAACTGGGGGCCTCTTCCCAGTTGGTGTGAGGGCCTGTGGCACTGGCTACTTCTGAGGCTGTGGTCCTGGACACCAATGGCAGAAAGGAACACAAGAAACAGAGACAATATCCTGATTCTGTCAAGGGCCGGTCCTGCAGCCTGTAAGGGAACAGAAGGCGGTTTGGGAGGGGTGGAGGGACTTCCGGGCTTGAGTTCCAGAGCCCCAAAGTGACATGCCTGGAGTTCTCTTAAAGGGACTCTCTGCCCTTCACTCGCGCCTAATTAGGAATTTCTAAAAGAGCAGAAAGAGGAAATAAATGATCTGGCAGAGAGGGCGAAACTGAGAGCAGGAAAACAGACTCCCCTCAACCCCCCCCCCCTTTTTAACAAATGCTTTTGGGTCTGGCAGAAAAGAAGGGAGGGAAGCAGGTTAAAATTTCCACTTGGGAAAGGTGTTGACGGGGTACAGGTGACCTGGGCCTATGAAAACCCCAAAGAGCAGACCTTGGTTGTCCTATTTAAGTTTTAAGATAAGTTTAGGTCCTAATTTATTAAATGAAAAAATAAGCCAAAGAATACATAAACAGCCACCATTTAATGAGCACATACTATGTGCCGAGGCCTGGATATACTTTATTATACCTCAGTGTCACCTAGCAGTGAAGAACATGAGCCCTGGAGAGAGGCAGGCCTTCTGAATTCTGGCTCCACCATGTAGTAACTGTGTGACCTTGGACAAGTACATGACCTTTCCACCCCAGGTTTACTCCCCTGTGTTGTATAATACAGAGAGCAATAGCACTATCAGCTCCTGGCTGTGTGGGGATTAAGCGGGATAGCATGCAGAAGTTCTTGCACCCAGCTTGCTATAAGGTAAGCCCTCAGTAAATGCAGGCTATGCTTATTACATGTGGCAGGAGGTATTATCTCTGTCTTACAAATGAGAAAATTGGAATACCAAAAGATGACAGCAGTTGATCAGCTCTAAGGATGATTTCAAAACAGTTCACATCCACACCTACCCTTACCCTGGCAAGGAAGGTCAAAAGGGGCTGGCCCCATCTTTAGAGGCTGAGAGTCATGAGTGAGGCCCAGGGCCCCATCAGGGAGAGGTGGGAGGAAAAGGAGCATGGAAGTGACCCCAGGAGGCAAGTCACACGCTCTTGTTTTATTCTTGACAGACCAGTTTGAGAGCAGCTGTGGGAGAGACTCCGGGCCCGGGGTGGGAGGGGGGGGCGGTTGGAGATGCCCCAGATGTCCCCTCACCTGGTCCAGGCACCCTTTTAGACAGAGCTGAAAGAGTGGACCGTGGCAACTGGGAGGTTTAGCCTCAACCACCCCTCCAGAAGACTCAGTGTGAGGCAGACCCTAAAAGAGGCCTTGAGCACATGCTTAACACCTCGGCGCCCCACGGACACGAGACGGGGGCCTGAGTTCTAAATCTCCCCAGCATCAAGCCACTTACCCTGCAGTATGGTCTGATTGAACCCTTTCAGAGTGCTGATGAGCTGCCGCCCATCCTGGAAATCCCCTCCGGCCTTGAGCATGACCTTCACCACCTGAGCGTAGAGCAGGACCGAGTCGTGCAGGTAGGCGGCGTAGGGGCTCACCTGCAGGACCGAAACAAACACAGGGATTACAAAGGCCCGTGGCCTGCAGTGTCACAGCCCAGAGCTCGGTCAGGAGGAATTTCTCTCCATTGTCTTAACAGTGTAACAGGTTTTCCATCCATTCTGCAGCGAGGGGGGTGTCCTCTGCGTGCTGAGCCTGGGCTGTTAAACCTGGATGCAGCAATCTTTGCTTTTCTTAGTTAGGCTCGTTTTCCCAAACAGATCACATGATCCATCGGGTTGGGAATAGCTCTTTAGGCCACAGGCGGGTGGGCACATGGTTTAGTTGAAAGAGGGTAGATGTTGGAGCCAGGCTGGCCTTTCTATTTACTGGCTGTGAGATTTGGGGTAAGTTCCATAACCTGTCAGAATCTCAGCTCCCTCATTTATAAAATGGGGATAAAGCCACAATCCTGCTGAGTATAAGCACAGTTAAATGAGACAGGATAGGGTACTTCCTGCTGCGCTACCTGGCACATAGTAGGTCTTCCGTACATGTTCTTGTCTGTTCATTTAGCCGACAAACATGCAAGTGCCCACTAAGTGCTAGGCACATAGAACTTGGAACAGAGCTGACACTTAATGGACAATTTCCCAAATATTCATTGACCAATCGTCTTTCCTTGTATGTTGGGATCCACAATTGGCCACCTTGGTCCTAATGGAACCCTTGTCATCAGGGGCCTGTCACTGGAAGTAACTCCAGCTCTGGCCCATGGTCTCCGTGTAACAAACTCTCTGTGGGTATCAGACCTTTGCCCCATCATCCCACACACACTGGGACGACCACTGGCTGATCCTGTCTCTCCTGACTGTCTTCTCCCTGTTCCAGACCAGCTGCTTGCCTTGGCTTGTTCTAGCTCCACATTTCCAACTGCTCCATTCTGGTTCTCAATCCTGACATCCTGCTGGGAAAGGAAATTGTCATAGTCTGAGCACCACTGGTTTCTGCTCTATTACTTCCATGTGCTATGTTATGAGATATTCAAAGCCACAGGCTGGAGGCAGATGTCATGATCAGTTCCATTATTCAGGTGAAGGGACTGAGGTGTAGGGAGGTTCAGCAGTTCACCTCGAGGTCCCACAGACAGTAAATAGCAGAGCTAGGATGGGAGCCCAGGCCTCTGACTCCCAGTAACCTGCTAACCTCTGTCCTTCTGTGGTCCTGGGGTGCAGACTTCCTAAGACAGCATCACACCAGTGTTTATGCTCGGCTGTAGAAAATGAGGCCGTGTGTGTGTGTGTGTGTGTGTGTGTGTGTGTGTGTGTGTTAGGGACATGGGCAAAGAAAAGGAGAAATAAGAGAGAGAATATTAAAGCCAAGCATAAATATCCTCCAAAAAAGGGACAGCAGAGACCTGTGCAGTGAGACCCTGTTTCAGACCTGCTGCTCTGCGGAGACGGAGCTGTGGAAGGGTGGCCCCCTGAGCCTCCGGTAGACTTCCTGTCGGAAGCCTTCATCTCCAGGACCTTCTCTGTAGGAGCTGAGGGCGATGAGAAGCACAGACTCGTAGACGGTGGGGAAGTGCGTCCCCTCCTGATTTGTTAATACCTCCTCCCAAAAACTGTCCTGAAATACAATGAAATCAGGGTAGTCATTCTGTAGGAAATACCCTGAGCAACAGAAGCACAGCAGGTCAAGGTCAAATTTGAGTTTCTTCATTCAAATCCTTGGAAACGGCCCAGCCAGTGTGGCTCAGTGGTTCAGCATCGACCAGTGTACCAAGAAGTCACTGGTTCGATTCCTGCTCAGGGCTCATGCCCAGGTTGTGGGCCCAATCCCCAGTGGGGGGCATGCAGGAGGCAGCCAATCGATGTTCTCTGTCATCGTTGTCTCTCTCTCTCTCTCTCTCTCTCTCCTTCTCCCTTCCTCTCTAAAATCAATTTTAAAAAAAAGAAAAAATTTAAAAAACACACACAGATCCTTGGAAACACAATAATTCTAGAAGACCTGACTTGCAAGGTCCACATTTTCTACCTGGCCTCAAAGTAGTAGGAAGGAAGCCAATAAATAAACAAATACAGAAATAAATAAATAGAATTGAGTTGACAGGGAGCAGCTAAGATATAGAAAGCTTACCTTTTGGCAATGGGTGATTAAAAACTTGAAACACTTAGGACTATTCATTCATTCTCAATTTTCTGCTTATGGCTTAACTGGTTTGTTATTTTCCTTATGATCTATATTATCACTGTTATGAAAGTGCTACCTACTCATTATATATACAGGGTGTCCCAAATAAATGTCTACACTCTTTAACAGCTGATAGCTTAATTGTTGTTTCTTTATTGCCAAATAGGTGGATTAGATGAAGCGATTTCATAGTAGACCCTCCCCGTTCACCAGACCTCACACCTCTAGACTTTTTTATGGAGAAACTTAAAAGGTAAAGTCTATGCTACAAAACCAGCAACAATCACCGAATTGAGAGTAGCCATTGAACAAACGAAATATGTCTTGATGTTTGCGATTCCCTTGCTTCCTGTCATCACAGTGCCTGGACCAGACAGGCAGCAGTTTGAAACAGGCATCGACCAAACAAGTCAACAGTGTCCGTAGAGTCTATTACATTTTGAAAGTGAAATGTATTTTAATAAACACTGGCTTTATAATTATTCAAAGTGTGTATATACTTTTTTGGGACACTCTATAGAATGAAAGATAGTAGGATCTTCTCTAAGTTTCTTGTAGCTCCTCCTGTCCTTTCTGAGAGGTATTCACACATTCTGGGCATAAGCAGAGGGGTGTGTGTGTGTGTGTGTGTGTGTGTGTGCATTTTATATAAATAGTATCACACTACAATGCTGTTCTGCAGCTTAATTTTTTCCCACTGAAGTCTGTATTAAGAACACTTTTATAGAATGGGTTTATGCTATTCTCTTTTTAAGCAGCATGACTTTAAATGCATGGCCATTGTGTGGTATACTTTTAGTTCTATATTTGATCATGAAGGCTTTTGAGAAAGTGACTCAGGGGTTGGAAGGGCTTCCCTGCCAGTACTGAGCCTTGGCCCATCTCTCCTCCTCTCATCTGTCTGAAGGCAGAGGTGAGAGGGAAGTCAAGAGAAAGGCATGGGCAGCACTGAAGTCAGGAAAACTGTTCTGGAAAGTTTGGCACAGGTTTATAATCCCCACTGATTGCTCCAAGAACTATGAGAAACGTTTAGCATCCAAGGTACTCCGTGACAAATAGGTAAAAGAGCATTCCAGTCAAGATGGTGGAGTCGGTGGATGCTGTACCAACCCTCTCTCGGGACTACATCGAAGCCACAACTAAATCATAGAATAATCAGTCTGGAGAATCTTCTGAAGACTAGCTGAACAGAAGTTCTGTAACTAAGGATATAAAGAAGCCATGTCAGAATGGTTAGGAAGCACGGAGACATGAAATGGGCTGACCCCGCACCCATGCATGGCAGTTGAGAACCCAAAGAAATATCTCTGCCACAGAGGTACCCCCTTAGGATCAAGGGGTCTCAGGCCCAGCCTGGAATGCCAGGTCTGGGGAGAGGAGCCCACATGACATCTGGCTGAGAAAATCAGCGAGGATTCCATCCATCAGGGTGAGACGGGAACCTGTTGGAAACCCAGGTGTCTCTTAAAGGAGCAGCATACAACCTCGCTTGCAGATGCTCACCTTGGGCTCTGGTGGAAGGACAGCCACTGGGGGGATGCCAGAGACATACAGGGAGAAGCTGAGCCTAAGGGCAAGGTGTGAAGGAATAGCCACTATTGTTGCTGTGTTGAGTCCTCCTCCTGCATCATCTTTCCTGGGTTGAGCCCTCGCTGAAAGGCCAGATCTGAGCCTGCATTACCCTGGCGAGCTCCATTAGCTCCCAATGCCCACCAGTAGACGAGCTGATAAAGTGATGGTACATATATACAATGGGCTGTTATTCAGTCATAAATAAAAGAATGAAATCTTACCATATGTGACAACATGGATGGACCTAGAGGATACTATGCTAAGTCAAATAAGTGGGACAGAGAACGACAAAACTATATGAACTCACTTATAATATAGAATCTAAAGAACAAAATAAACAAACAGAAACAGACTCATAGATACAGAGAATATGGTTGCCAGATGGGAGGGGGGTTGGGGGCCCTGGGTGAAAAAGGTGAAGGGATTAAAAAGTACAAATTGATAGTTACAAAATAGTCATGGGGATGCAAAATACAGCATAGTGAATGTAGTCAATAATTTTGTAATAACTATGCATGGTGCCAGGTGGGTACTAGAATTATCAGGGAGATCACTCTATAAAATATATAATTGTCTAACTTTTATGCTATACTCCTGGAACTAATATAAAATAGTACTCAATGTCCACTCAATGTGCCTCTTTCAAGTCGATGTTTCTCTCTCTCTCTCTCTCTTCCTCTTTCTCCCTCCCACTCTATCTGTGCAAAAAATGGAAAAATGTCCTCGGGTGAGGATAAAAAAAAAAAAAAGAAAGTTTAGCCCTGGCCGGTTTGGCTCAGCGGTTAGAGCGTCAGCCTGCAGTACAGAGAGACCCGGGTTCGGTTCCCGCTAAGGGCACGTACCTCGGTTGCAGTTTGTCCCCGGCCCTGGTTGGTCGTGCGGGTGGCAGCCACTCGATGTGTCCCTTCACATCGTGTTGCTCTCTCTCTCTCTTCCTCTCTCCCTCCCGCTCTATCTGAACAAAAAATGGAAAAAATGTCCTCGGGTGAGGATAAAAAAATAAATAAATAAATAAATAAATAAATAAATAAATAAATAAATAAAATAAAATAGTACTCAATGTCAACTGTAATTGAAAGGTAAAATGAAAAATATCAAAGAGATCTGGAACATTGTTATACATCTTCCTTTACTCCCCTTTACCCCACTTTAACTTCTTAAGATCCTTTAAAAAAAAGCTCATTTTAGAAATATAGACATGCTGGGGAAATTACACAGGGTGTCCATATCCAAACGCAAGTGTAGAGAGGCATTTAAATGTACAGGCACTGAGGCCAGATCCCGGGGTTTGATTACCAGCTCTCCCTCCTACTGGTCGAGTGGTCTTGGGCAAGTTATTTGACCTCTCAGGGCCTCAGTTTCCTCGTCTGTAAAACGGGAAATAAAAGTATCTCCCCAAATGGTGGTGAGAGCTCACGTGAGCGTTAGCACATCAAGTGCTTGGTGTGGGACCTGGCATAAGCCATAGCTGTTGGAACAAAGGGCTCTGTCCCGGAATCCAAAAGACCTGGCTTTGAAGACCAGCTGTGCCCCTAGGGAACTCTGAAATCTTGGATAAGGTATCTTACCTCTCTAAGCCTCAATGTCTTATCTGTAAGTTGCAATGCTGATAAGATCTACCTTATAAGGCTCTTGGGAATATTAAGCGCAATGGTGCATCTCAAATGTGTAATCCGATCCTCACAGGAGGCACGTGGCACGTTAGCCATCTCATCATGACCAAAAGAACCAAACCATCCAAGAATGACCTCATGGACCAGTATGTTGGTCTCTGCAGGCCTTTGTTAGGACTCCGACAGGAACACAGGGAGGTGCTCATGGAAGAAAAGAAAGTGAGAGTCCCTTGTGTTTGAGAGTCCTTAGAGGAGGTCTCAGCTGCATGATACGAGTGACAGGTCCTCCTCAGCTGGTGTTTGCTGACAACTATCAAGGGCCAGGCTCCAGAGCCAGCATCTGAGTTCAGGGCCTGGCTCAACTTCTCATTAACTGGGCCAAAGGACTCTGGGTAAGTTCTTCCAGCTCAGTCCGTCTCCCAACTCTAGGATGAGGACACGGAGTGCCTGCTTCTTGGGGTTGTGAGTCTTCAGGGAACTAATGCATCTGGTACATAGCAAGGGCTCCATACTCATTACCTCTTACTGCAGGAGCCACTGGGGGTCATGGACACCCACCTCCCACTGCTGCAAAAGGATGAAGACAAATTCTCCAGTGTGCAGTCCCAGGTTCTCTGCAGCCAGCAAAATAATATTTGCATCCTCTGAGCTGCAGATTAAGATGAAAACTATAAGAGGAAAAAACAAAAACAAAAACAAAAACAGAGTCAGCCAATTGCCCATGACCACGTGCACATGTGCATACGCTTTTTAAAGTCTTGTCTGAAACTGCTCCACCTGAGACTTCTTTCCCTGAGCGTGCTTTAGGAAAGAGGAATGCCGAAAACGATGCCCATAGTGTACCACCAGCAGTGTGCCAACTGGCAGACTTGCCCGACGGAACTGAAGTCCTCACTGCAGCTCTCTCCCAAAGTACAAGTCAAAAAAGGTTAAGATCACTTCTGTGCTCTAGATTCTCTGTTTCGTTGGCTCAGAACAACAGATCTGGCTTGTTCATCGTGAGCCACACAGGAGGACCTAAAATCAGAAGCATTCAGACTTTTTGAGTTGGGATGGGAGGAGAGGAAGGAGTAAACTATGGTAATTTTTCTCCATTCAAACACAGCAACAAGCATTATGAGGACACACCAATGAAATAGTGACATTCTTTAAATAAGGTAAATTATAATCTATGTATTTGAGCTCCGACCATGTGCCAAGCACTGTTAACTAAGCACAGGATACAGCAATGAGCAAGGCAGAAGGCCCTCAGGGAGCTGACAGTCAGACAGACACTATACCAGTGAATCATGAGGGGCAATGGGGTTGTAGGTGGCACTCCAAGCCAAGGATCAGCAAGTCCCAAAGTACCAAGGCCAGAAAGGCTTAGTTTATTGAAGAACAGAAAGGAGTCAATTACTAATCAGGCTAGGAAATAGAGCCTTATAAGCACCACAACAAAAATGATTGATGTATGTTGACCAGCTGCTATGTCCAGACACAGTGCTAAGGACTTCACAGGCATGACCTCATGCAATTCTTACTTTTCTATAAGGTGGGCAGGATGATTATCTTCATTTCCCAGACAAGGTATCTGAGGAACTGAGAGGTCGAGGTATTTGCCCTGGAGTACACAGCTAGAAAGTATTCGAGGTTGGTTTTGAACCTAGGCTGTCTTTCTCCAGAGCCCATGCTCCGGACACCAGCCCAAGTCCAGGACCCAGCCCACCTGGAAGATACTTCCAGAGCTTATTCATTGAATCGTAACACTATAGCATATGGGATTTCACTGTAGATTAAAAATTGTTGTTGTTGGTGGTGGTGATGTCAACCAAACAGGAAAATTGTTTTGATGTATCATTAATTTTGTACCTTTCCATCTGCTTTGGACACCCATAGCAAAATGAAGAGCTTCTCTCTGCTCTTCCTATTTCTCTCTCCAAACATAAGCGACAGAGGACTCTCTTCTACTTACCCCTGGCAGTGGCTGACATGCTCCTAAGACCATCCTGCAGGAGGGCTGGATCGTTGTTGGTGTATCTGACCCTGGCAGTGATGGTGAAATGGGATTTGAGCTCATTCTCTACAACCCTCCACAACTCATCCACTCGATCCCAGGAGGAAGTCCCAGAGTGACCTCCAAACATCCCAATGCGTTTCCAGCCCAGGTACTGGAGACTTTTCCGGAGCACGTCACCAATTTCACGCAGGGGTGGCACAAGTTTCACGTAGGTGTCATACAAGAAGTCGTTCTCCAGTTTTGCTGTTTGCCCAACAAAGTCAAACATGGGGATATTCCACTCAGAGGCCAGCAAACCAATAACCTTGAAGGTAACCAAAAGGATGTTTTAATAATTGAGTTAATGCTACTCTCAAACCCCATTGTAAGGTATGTGCACAAATTTTGAATTCAGTGACTCTATGGGTCACGCTGGAGCCTGTCTTTTGGAATACTGATGATAGTGTCTTGTATCAGATGACAAGAATAACAATCGTGAGCATTTAATGAGAGTTTACTATGTGCCAAGCACTATGCTAAGAGCTTACATACATCATCTCGATTCTAACAACATTTCTACGAGGCGGGTATTATCACTACACCATTTTATAGATGTAAGTTATAAAGCTAGCAAACAGTGGAGCAGGATGGGAATATAGCAATATTGGTCCGGAGCCCACTCATAGCTATTATTCATTCTCTTAGTGTTTCTTCCTTAATTTGGTCCTTATTCATTTCTCACTCATTCTTCATTAGAAGCCTACTATTTATAAGGAATTTTGGAGACCTTGCTCTTAAAGGAGTTTATGATCTATTACAGGAGTTGGATATATAAAAAAATAGCTACGGAGTTAAATATACCATTCACTATTTATGGACAGTAGATTTATAGGAGTTTAGAAAAGTAGTAAGTTACTTTTGATTTGGGAATTAGGGAGGATGAGGGAGGATGGAGGGGTGAAGAAAGACCTTATGGCATTTGAACTTGACTTTGAAGATTGGGTAGGCTTTGGACGGAAAGAAATGTGTCCAATGGGGTATTTCAAGAGAGAACAAGATCCAAATTCAAATGCAAACGTAATCCCGCAGCACCCATTAATGACAATTCTGCAGTGTTTCTGAGAGTGAGAACTGGGATGCTCCTTCCTATTTCTGTTTTGCATCAGCACCTAAGCACAAGAAACCCAAGGACTCCCACAAAGTTAATCCCATTAACTGCGCGGATACAAATAGTTGATTTCTCAAGTTTTTTTTGTCCTAGCTCATTACAATCTGTCACGCTCCCTTCTTCCCTGTCACTTACCTTTACTATCACAGAACAATTTATTACACACACCAAAGTGAAACCTACATAAACAAGAGCTATTTTCTATTGAAAACTAAGCACTAATTTTCTTCTTAACTTTTTCTGAGCCATGTGGCTGAGAACATTCAAATAATGAGTTTATCTACAGTAGCACCAAGTCCAAATGGTCAACAAGTTTGGTAGTGAACATCAGCAATACACAATGATCGATTTGAAAGGGCTTTCTTTTTGTTTTATCCTCACTCCAGGACATTTTTGCATTTATCTTCAGATAGAGTGGGAGGGAGAGAGGGGGGAGGGGAGGGGGGAGAGAGAGAGAGAGAGAGAGAGAGAGAGAGAGAGAGAGAGAGAGACATTGATGTGAGAGAGACACACCAACTGGCCATCCCCCACATGACCCCAACCAGGGTCGGGGACAAACTGCAACCAAAATATATGCCATTAGCGGGAACCAAATCTGGGACCCTCTGGTCCGCAGGCCAATGCTCTAACCGCTGAGCCAAACTGGCCAGAGCTGAAAGGCTTTCTTTAAAGAGAATATTAACTGTTCTAATTACATGGTCTAATTACATCTCAAAGAAGTAGTACCCAAGACCTAAACAGTTATTATTTTAATAACGCCATCTCAAACCTGTCCCATCATTTTTAAGACCACCCCTTCCAATGGAAACTCAGCCAGAGTTTCTAGAAGGTTGAATACCTCTGCTGCTTCTGAGCATGCTGGTCCAAACAAGGCAGAAATCTGTTCTCTCTGGACCTGATTGGTGAAAACAGCAAGAGACTCCTTGGCAGTGCAGGCTGAGTTGGTATAAGTGAACTCCCAGCTGACGTTTCCAAGCTCCGCCAGCTCCGAGTTGATCTTGTCCATGGCAATCTGGAGACCTGCACCCAGCCTTTGCACACTGAATGGATGGGAGATGTTCCAGGGAGCCTGGAAGCCCACAGTGAGTCTAGCAGCCTCAAGCCGAGTCACCAGCACACCGGCAAAGAGGGTTAGGACTAGTATTAGGTGGGCATCATGGCGTTCGACTGACAAACAGAGCCCGGATCCAAGTGAGGTCTCAGCACCTGTCCGGGGAGCCATGGATAGTGTCTAACACCTAGATCACTGCAAAACTCAGAGAGGCTCAGCCTCCTGACCACTCATGCCAGGAGCTTAAATGATAGTGCAGAGTCCCCTGAGGACCACAGCTTGGTTTCTATTCAGTGCCATAATTAGTCATAACCTTTTCTTTTCAGAATCTGTCCTAACACATCTAGAAGCAGCAGTCTTGCAGAAAGACGCCAGGGCAGGGAATCAGCAAGGCCCTGGTAATTGATCCAGTGACACCACTGACACATTTTATGGTCCTGGGCAAAGCACATAACCCCTCCCCACCCCCGGCCCCAGGATCCTTCTCTGCTACTTAAATGAGAATTATGGGAACCACTCAAGTGTAGGCAGATGGTCTGGGTTGAAATTTGGGCTCCACCATGTATTAGTTGTGTGACCTAGGATATGTTACTTCCTCTCTCTATATCTTTATCTCCTGATAAATAAAATGGGGGTTACACTGTAATAGGATCTTCCCCTAAGCAATATGGTAAGGATTAAATGAGATCATGCAAGTTCAGCATTTGGCACAATGCCTGGGCAGAGAGCCACTTCTCCATGCTAGATAATGGTGGTGGTGGTGGTGATGATGATGATGATGATGATAATAACAGTGATTGATGATGTTGATTTCATAATAATGATAATTATCACCTGCTAAATTAATCTTATAATTGTTCTTGAATAAGTGAGCTAATGACTATCAGAGGGTTTACTCACAAGTGGCACAGTCTATGTTCCTCACCCTGGCCTAGGACACCAGGAAGAGGCTTCTAATGAATGAACACTAACTCTCAAAGCTTGATCTAAAGACCACCTACATCAGTCTCTGATGATTAAAAATACAGATTCTAGGGTCCCCCTCCAGACCCTCTGGACTAGTCTTGGGTTTGCTCTGGGAATCTGCAATTAACAGTCTCTCATTATCCCTAAGTACTCTAAAGTTTGAGAAGCTCTGATACAACCTGAAGTGAGAGGAGGGAAAGAGGAGCCCATAACTATTCTGCACGCATTTTCCTTCGGTAGCAAGCCATCAGAATGGGATTACTGAGCCTTAGTCCTGGCCCATCTCAGTGGGCCATTTCTAACCCCCTGGATTAGACATGCTTTTCTCCAAACCAAATTCACCGTAACTGTTTCTACACTGAGCTTCAGATTCTACTCTCCTCTACTAGGACAGTTTGGCATCAATTTTCAAAGTCATCTGAGTCTAAAGATGTCCTCAATCTAATTACAGAGAGAATTTCATGTATTTTTTTTTTTTTTTGGCTCAGATGCTTACGAGATATATGTGGCCTTGGGTAAGCCAGTTTAACGTGTGCTTTAGTTTTAACTTCAGAACTAGTTAAACTCCGCCCCCTCATAAGGATGTTGTGAAGATATCGTGCAATTATGTAATTACCTAGCACAGCGCCTCCCAGTGGTATGTCACTGTGTAAATCATGATCTCAAAACTAAGATTCTGGGAGCAATATTGTATTACACATTCTGTGTCCCCTCTCCCCCTTCCATATAGAAACATCTTAGAATGTATACTCCCAGTCTGGATAATTTTAGATTCTTTGTGTTTACAGATTTTCTTTCTCTGAGGATCTCTGAAGCCAGGGATTTATGTGTGTCCTCTTTGGATCCTCAGATCTAGCACAGTTTGGGGCCTTTATATATGCAAATTAATATTAATCATAGTAAGCACAAGTATTTTTTTTTTTTTTTGTATTCCTAAGAGCTTACATGTGAGCATGGTCCAAACCAGAAGAAAATACTGATGATGTTCAGCATTGGTGAGAGTTCAACAAGCAGATATACACTGCTGGTAGATGCAGGTAGCCGTTTTTTTCAATATGCACCCGAAACCTTAAGAATATATAGATCTTTGACTCAGAAATTCCAATGTTGGAGACTTATCCTAAAGAAATAAGATTGTATGATGAGATTTTACTACACTGTTATTTGGGGGTTTTTTAATGAGTCAAAAATTAGACACAATTTTATGTCTAATGGCAGGGGTCTGGATAAATAGCATACAGTTAATCTGAGGACCAGCCAATCACTACAAATGAAAGCATTTAAGTATTGTGCTAAGCGAAACAAGCCAGTTAAAGAAAGACAAGTATCACATGATCTCACTTATTTGTGGAATATAATGAACAACATAGATGCAGAGACATGGAAGTAGGGAACAGACTGACAAACCTCAGAGGGAAGAGGGGGTGGGGGAGGAAAGAGATGAACCAAAGAACTGATATGCATATACGCATAACCAATGGACACAGACAACAGTGTGATGAAGGTTGGGGGGAGTGTCAATGGGGGGTGGGGAAGGAAGGACATCTATAATACATTCAACAATAAAGATAAATTTTTTTAAATGAGTGCATTTATACACTTACAAGGATAGTCACAATGTATTAACTGACGAAGCACACTGTAAAACAATGTGTATAGTATTCCATTTTCCTTGTTTTTTTGTTTTTGTTTTATTCCTCACCTGAGGATACTTTTCCATTTATCATCAGATAGAGTGGGAGGGAGAGAGAGACAGAGAGAAACATCGATGTGATAGAGCCACATCGACTGGTTGCTTCCCACATGACCTGACCAAGGCCTGGGGGAAATGCAACCGAGGCCCATGCCCTTGGCCGGAATCCAACTCTCGACTTATTGGTCCACAGGCCAAAGCTCTAACCACTGAGCCAAACTGGCCAGGGCTCACTGGGTTTTTTTAAAGCACACAAATTTGCATAGTAAAGATTATATACACTAAAACCTCTAAAAGTGGCACTCTCTGGATGATGAAAATTATTAGTTTTCTTCTCTTTGCTTATCTTAATGTTTTTTTTTTTTATTTAATGTCTGCAATAAGGAAGGAAAGTAGGAGTTTTTGTTAAAAATAAACCTGACGGACTTGCCTGTATGGAGAAAAAGCATGGAGTTAAACTCATTCTCTGCATTCTCAGGTCAGGAGTATCTCATCCTGACCTGGGCCCTCACACTTGGAGGCACTTGGATTACCTCTGAGGGATCTACTTATTCTCTGTGGCATTCAGACACCTCCATTTTACTGTCTTGCTCAGAGAAGGGGAGAGACAGAGATGCCATGGTCCAGATGATGACCATCCTGGAAACCATTGCCAGAGTAACAGGCCCACCCACTTTATGCCAAATACTTCACTGGCTAGAGTGGAAATGAGGTTAAAAGCAATGTACTGTAGCGGGATTTGCAGGGACTGTGGCTGCAGGAGAGAGCATGATATTCTCCACTCGTTTCCAGTCCTCCCTCCTTCTAGGAGATTCTTAAGCCTACCATTTACCAGGAGCATGGTAGTTGAGGGGATAGGCCACGTTATTTCATCTGACAATGCTTTAGAACAAAAGTCAGAGATGCAGGGGTTGTTTCCCTATGTCGGTGGGGGTGGGGCTTTGAGTCACAGCTACTTCATCCCATTTCTGCTTCCTGAAGAGACTATGACAGAGGAAGGGTTCTTTCGGTCTAAATTACGGTGTCGTTGATGCTGACCAGCCTGGACCATATACGAGGCCAGCTGTTCAGCATCCAAAGTCAGACAAGATTGGCTGTATCCAGGGTGGTGAGGTTTTCATACAACTTCTAGCCTTTTTCTGGCTGCCATCTGCTCCTGCTTTCCCCTTGCATTCCTTCAATGTGTGACTCAGTGGTATGACCATGTTCAGAGAGCAAGTGAAGGTTTAGAATGTGTGGGTTCGAACTTCCCCAGGAGACAAGAGGAAGGTGAAGGTGTCTGGCCCACTAGGAAGAGGGAGATGAGCCTGTGTTGTCCAGAGGGAAAGACGAAGGGAGAGGCAGCCGCCACTCCTGCCCTAGCACACGCCTGCAGCTCACGGTGTCTTCTGGGAAAAGCATCAGCCTTAGGCTTCCCCGAGTGAGGAAGACTGTCATGGAGCCTCTGTTTCCTTTCCTGTGAAATGGGGAAATGGCAGGGGGCAGAGACCTCTGACCTTACCAGCTTCTTGCCCTGAAAGCCCAGGACTCTAGTGGCTTCATCACTAACCAAGTACTCCACGCTCGGTGGTGGCAGGACATTTCTTTCCAGGTCTTGCTTACACGTTCCTACAGGGAAGGTCCCTGGGGATCTAGCACACCTTACACAGACCATCCCAGAAGTAAGAGCAAGTCAAAGGTGGCTATTACTTGTCAGGGTGTGAACGGCCAACTTGCCTGTGGTGTTCTCAGCTTTTGCAAATACAAAGATAACTTCAATGATCTGAAGTTTCTAGTGAGTAAATGTTTGGGAAGCGACAGGGAAGTGGAGCAAAGGTTGAGCTTGTATAAAGCAGGAGATGGGCCCGGCTGCTGTGGCCCAATGGTTGAGCACTGACTCATGAGCCAAAAGGTTTCCAGTTCAATTCCCAGTCAGGGCACATGCCCAGGTTATAGGCCAAATCCCCAGGGCGGGGGGGGGGGGGGCATGCATGCAGGAGGCGGCCAATCAATGTTCTCTCTCATCGATATTTCTATCTCTCTCCTCCCTTCCTCTCTCTAAAATCAATAAAGAAAAAAAAAATCCCCTCCTACTTTAAAAAAAAGAAGAAAAAAGCCCTGGCCGGTTTGGCTCAACGGTTAGAGCGTCGGCCTGAGGTCCTGAGAGACCCGGGTTCGGTTCCCGCTAAGGGCACGTACCTCGGTTGCAGTTTGTCCCTGGCCCTGGTCGGTTGTGCGGGTGGCAGCCACTCGATGTGTTCCTTTCACATCGATGTTTCTCTCTCTCTCTGTTCCTCTCTCTCCCTCCCACTCTACCTGAACAAAAAATGGAAAAATGTCCTCGGGTGAGGATAAAAAAAAAAAAAAGAAGAAAAAATAAAGCAGGAGATCGTATATCCTACAGCCTCTGTTTCCTGTAACAAAGCAACTTCCCTGGATCCAAAAGGCACTGCTTTGGATAACCATGTGCACATGACTCCTAGAAGGCCAGGGATGGGGCACTGACCATGGCTTTCTGAGGAAGACACTCTGGTCCTGTTTCTGAAGATGCTTGTGTGATAGGAAGAGCTCCTCCCTCCGGGGGACTCTGCCTGTCTCTTACATACTTCAACCACATGGCATCCATCCCAGCTGCTGACAGAGACTCTTCCTCTGGCCTGTGACGCTTCATCTTTCACTCACCTGTTTCCACCAGGAATGTGTCTTTGACACCGAGAAGTTGCTTTTGACAGCCGGGGCTTACAATCACTGTTTTCCAGTTTTCTTCTGGCTACAAATATAATCTGAAGTTTAGCAGGTTGGGCTGCTCTAAATGTCAGATTTCGGATCTGAATATTTATTTTGCGGTTTTTGTTCCTGCCTCCCAGATAAAGACTCGGCCCCCGGTAAAGCCTTAGCTGGAAGAACAAAAACTTCCAGAAAGTACTGGAGAGGTGGGGCAGCCGCCTACTCTGTCTACTCAGTAATCAAAAATACTAAATGATTGGCAGTGATGTCATTACTTCCGAAGTCACTTTTCAGAAATGTTTTAGTTTTCCAAAAGCCCCTTTGTTGTCACAGTATATCGTCACTCAGCGAATAAAGAATGTGTCCTTGCCTTAATACATCTTTCTTTGCTGATGGCATACTTTTAACTTATGAAAATGATATGCTTCTCTGCCCGAGCTCATCAGGGACCCGTGTGGCAGTAGGCTTGCTGTCTGGGTGGCTTCCCTAAAGGGAGGCAGGATGTCCCTTTTGACTCCACCTGCCTCCTGAGCTTTCATTCTGGAGAGACTCGAACCCCTCCCATTTCCTGTCATTTCTGCTCCGCTCCTGTTAAAGCTGCCCAAGCAGCTCCCTGGCCAGGCACTCAGAATGTTCTCCACTCTGTGAGCCCAGGGACCTGAACCAAAGCTGCAACACAGAGGATGATGTCCTTACAAGCCTGTTGAGAGGAGAGAGGTTGGCATGTATCCCCAAGAACTGACGCTCCTAGCGGAGGTTTCTACCGCACGGTCCTGTAGCAGGGTGGCTGGGAGCACAAGTTTAAAATGAGAGTAAGCTGGCTTGGACAAGTTCTATGCTGTCTGAACCTCAATTTCTTTGTCATTACTCTGACGAGCTCAAGTAAGGATTAGATGAAGTCATAGAGGTAGAGCACATGACATGGTGTCTGGCATTGAACAACAGTGAGAGAGTAGCAGCACTTTTATAATGAAGGGACTATTGCTTCCGTCAAGATACAAACTCCATTGGATGGATGCTATGTCTATCCTAAAGAACAAATCACTGCTACTACAGAGACCAGAGGAAGAGGTTACAGACGGGGCTGTCTTCAAGTTCACCTGGAGCAGTTATAATACGCTCGCAGCTGCCACTGGGTAACAGCACCTTTGGCTTATATACTCTGGGCATTGAGGCAGAGAACCTTTGGTTTAAATCCATTGTCCAAGAAAAATAGAGTGTGAGCCACAGTCTCTTTAAAAATTTCCAGCAGACACATTTGAAAAAGTAAAAGGAACAGGTAAGATTACTTACCTATTATATGTCACATTATCATTTCAACATGGAATCGATATGTTTTAAATTGAGATTTTTATGTTATTTTCTTCCTACAAAGTCTCCAAAATTTGGTGTGTGTTTTATACTTCAACATATCTCAGTGTAGACTGGCATCATTTCAAATTCTCAACAGCCACGTGTAGCTATTGCTTATAGTACTGGACAGGGCAGGGCAGCATTTCACCCTGAGTTACCCTTCCAACCTGCTGGGTCATGATGTTTCCCTGGGATTGCTGAAGGTTCTGGGAATTCAGAGCTGACACCCCTTTCAGGGGTCTTGGCACTTTCCATCCGATTCTTAAATACTCTTAAGAAGTTCTCTCTGATATAGGAGTAGATTGCCTGTGTCATTGTGTTCCAACCTTGTTGACATCACGACCTTGAGAAGAGTACTATTTACATGGCACACGGGGACCCTTAGATGAGGCGATCCATGAGCACACCTGGCCACTCCAAGGGCTGAAGAGTCAGTATCTCTCAGCTGTGGTTTGTCAGTTGGGAAGCTAAGTCTGCAAGGCAATTGGTTCTGTGTGGGTGTTGTCTGGGCTGGGGGTGGGCATGCATCTGAGGTTAGGGGAAGGTTTTACTGCAATCTGTGCAAACGTCATTCTTGTCAAGCAAGTGCTCATGCTTGAGTAACACTTCCTTCCCACAAAGAATGAGCAAGTGGCCTCAAGAGCTCGGGTGCCCAAGCTGTTGCTGTCAGTGACCCAGATTGAGCAAAACGAGCTGCTACAGACACTGAGCTACGGGCCCAGCTTCTCCCATGCGCACTGTGAAGCTGCATAGTGCTTGAGGGGGGCAGTCCACAGCTGCGTGGCCCCTCTAGGTGAGTGGAGCAAGGCTCTGTGTGGGAAATGAGCTCGAAGGACTTCCAGGCAGATGGGATGCCCTTCTGAGAAGGGAAAAGGTAGTTCTTGTTCCACCCTTGGCATCAGGTCTAGGTGGCTGGCATGGGATCCTGCTTCCTCTTAACAGTTCTTCATTTTCTCTGAGTGACCAATGAAAGTTCCAGAGAAAAATGCATGTATAAATACACAAGATTGCAAGGGGTTTATGGAATGGGTTATACTAATAAATACATGCTTGGGCTCTGAACTCAAGACTGCCTAGACTCAGAATCTGACGCTGAGACTGTGCCAACTATCAGCCACATGCCGTGAACAAGTTACTTGGCCTCTCTGAACCCTTCCTCTTCTGCAAAATGATAATAGTAATTTCTTCACGGGGCTGCTGTAAGGTTTGATGAGATATTACAGACAAAACCTCTTGGCTCAGTGTCTCCGTAATATCCATGATCGTGATGATCGTAAAGACCTTCGCAAAGAAACCGGCAGAGAAGCTGAGATTTCTAGCCTGTAAGATGTACTTTGAGTGCTATTAGCCTTTAGAAACATCAGATAACAAAGGAAAGGGTGGGTATGGAATTCTGATAATCGGAATGACCAATTATGGCAACCTTGTGAAGAGTTGGAAGAACTTTGCCCCCTCCTTTCACATCTCACTAAAAGAGTAAAGTTCAACACAGCTCTGCCATGTGGGAAGCTAAAGGTGAGTCCATTGCAGCTTTCTCTTTGCACCATTGTAACCTCTGCCCCACTGCACACCTCTCTGCAGGGAGGGACATCTCACCTCCTTTCTTTCTGATGCATCATTACTAAGTTAACATGAACTGATTCAGCCTATACCTCTAGGACCCTGCTTCCCTTTCTTCGTGGGTCATGTTGCCTGACTCTGAAGACTTGGCTTAGCTGTCAAAGGCCTAACATCCTTGTAAACAAGCGTTCCCAGGCTCCAAGTGCCCCAGCTACTCCCTCCAGACACCTTGTGCTTTCCATTTTCCTTCTTGTCGACGAATTTCTTCTTTGCCCTCCTCTGGAATGCCTACGATGAGCAATGTTGAGTAATTATTCTCTAATCTAAATTTAAGGAACTATTCTAAAACAGAGGAGCCAGAAGTTTAAGAGGAATTTCTGGATTCTGAGGGCAGAGGTTTTATTAAAAGGAGAAATTCCACTTTTCTTTAGAAGGACTTCATTAGCTTTAGGGCTTTCTGGAATCTAGAACCCCCCCCCCCCCCGCCGCCAAAAAAAAAAAAACACATTAAAATAATATTTGGGCCCTGGCCGGTTTGGCTCAGCGGTTAGAGCATCAGCCTGCGGTCCCGAGAGACCCGGGTTCGGTTCCCGCTAAGGGCGTGTACCTTGGTTGCAGTTTGTCCCCGGCCCTGGTCGGTTGTGCGGGTGGCGGTCACTCGATGTGTCCCTTTCACGTTGATGTTTCTCTCTCTCTCCCTCCCACTCTACCTGAACAAAAAAGTGTCCTCGGGTGAGGAAAAAAAAAAAATAATAATAATAATATTTGGTCCCCCTACTGATTCATTCCCCTGCCCTCCCCCCACCACACACACACACACACACACACACACACATACACACACACTCTGCTCTAAAATCTGCTTTGCAACCAAACATGCTCTTGAAAGAAGGGCTCTTTTTCATAGACAAGCCACACAAATCACCTGGCTTTACAAAATAGCCTGAAATTTGTTTTGTTTTGTTTTAATAATAATGCTAGCCCCACTACCATCACCATGGGCTCATGACCAACCTACAGGATCTCAGGAAAGTGGATGAACCTTTTCTGAGCATCCACTTCTCATCTGTACACATTGTAACTACCTGGCAGGTTTCCTCTGAGGGCCAAATGAAGTCCTTGTCGGGGGGTCTGGCTCCCAACAGCCATACCTCCCAAGGTATTGTTCTCGTTTACACCTCATAGGTTTGTTAAGAGATAGTCTGGAAGTGACGATAAATCGGAAGGAGCTATACAAACACACAGTGGTGCTACGTAAAGTTGATTCACTTACAAGGTCTGTCTTTTCCTGCGTTCACGTGTGGAGAAACCCTGGTTCTGCTTCAGAAGAGCTGTCAGTCCCTGTCATCAGAAGTATTGTGACTGTTTCCAGGCTCTGTTACAAAACTCTGGAATGTTGGCCGCTGGTCTTCTAGAACTGATACATCTGCAATGCCTGGTTCCTTCTCTTGAGGAAAGGGGAGGGAATGTACACAGACCAACCAGAGCAACATGAGCCATTGGGTCAGACTCCTCACCACCCTGGACACCTTACCTGTGAACGACCTGAAAAAAACGGTTTGCTCTTTTTAGGGGCTACAGGATACCCACTCTCAAAAGGACTTTCTTTTTTATTGAATTCTAACTGCATTAGGCTGTGGGCAGGATAGGAAGACTGAAGAGTGTTTCAAAGAAGCCTAACACCTTTTTTTTTTTAATCCTCACTGGAGGATACTTTTCTATTTTATCTTCAGATAAAGTGGGGGAGAGAGAGAGAAACATCGACATGGGAGAGACACATTGACTGGTTGCCTCCCACACAACCCCGACCAGGGCCAGGAACAAACAGCAACTGAGGTACGTGCCCTTGACTGGAATCAAACTCATGACTCTGTTCCATGGGCCGACACTCTAACTGCTGAGCCAAACCAGCCAGGGCAATCCTTTTTTTTTTTTCTTAAGAGAGATGCTATAGGAAACAATGGTTTATCAAGAGATGGTGTCGTGTTGATGGAGTACTATGCAGCTGTAATAAAGAAAGATCTCTTATCCTTTGAGACGACATGGAGGGACCTGGAAAGTATTATCCTAAGTGAAACAAGCCAAACAGAGAAAGACAAGTATCATATGATCTCACTTATTTGTGGAATATAATGAAATAACAGTCTGAGGAATGGGGTAGTTCCAGAGACGAGGAAGTGGGGTACAGACTGACAATCCCCAGAAGAGGGGGTGGTGGGGGAGAGATAAACCACAGAACTTATATGCATGTATGCATGAACAAAGAACATGAACAACAAAGCTGGGACAGGGCGGGGAGGGGGGGATAGGAGGGAATCCGTGAGGGAAAAAGGCAAAACATCTGTAACAAAAATAAATAAATTAATTAAAAACAAAAAAAGCAAAAGATTAAAAAAAAAGGAGATGGTGTTGTGTGTTAGGGTGCTGGAGACCTGGGCTCTGGACTTCCCTCCCCGACTGAATTGATGCCTTGTCCTAGCTAGTTACTTCACATTTTGGGGTTTCAGGTAGCCTCAAGAATAAAGTTAAGGCTGTTGGATCAGGTAATGCTCCCTACACTCCCATGCATACCCACATGGGTTGTCTAACTGTAATGCTGCTGTGTGGCTTTGATTTATGTTTACGTAAAGATGAAGTGAGACAGTGAGTAGCAATTCCTCCCACTGTTGTCAAAGCACTATTCTTGGACTTTCGCTGCCTGCTCATGTTAAGTAACACCTGTCTTCTAGAGCATGTATCGAGTTCTACTCGTCAAATTCTCCTCCCGCTGCAGGCTCACCATATCCAAGACGACCCCAGGCGCAGTTCCTTTTATCATTCCAGTAGTTGCCCATTGAAGGTAGGTGGCTGCTTTGGAATGGTGGTGCTGATAGTGAGCTCCTAGTGTGGTCCCCAGACCAGCAGCATCCACATCACCTGGAATTACTAGAAATTCTGATTCTCAGGCCCTAACTCAGGCCTACCGAACCAGAAACTCTGGCACTGGCCCAGTAATCTGGGCTGTAACAAGCTCTCCAGGGGATTGTGATGATTGTTGAAGTTTGGGAACCACTAGCTTGGAGCACCCTGCTCTGAAAAGTGTGGCATCAGAAGGTGTTCCAACACAACTTAGCATTTGTCCTATCAAATGGGACTCGGGCTCCCAGTTCTTCAGCCACTTCATAGAAGCCCCTTTTCCTTAGGTACTAAGGCAGGACTAGGGCTCTGGGGCAAGAAGTGACCTTAAAGAGTCAATGCACCTAAGGCATGGATGAGAATCTGGCCTAATAAGACCTCTTTGTTAATGTGGTGGCCACTCTTCCACGCAGGAGTCAGCAGGAAGTGGTGTTGGCTTCTAATTTTCATATTGGCCACCTGCCCAATTACTGTTAGAAGAAACCTACTACAGCATTTCCACAAATTTCTGCAGGCTGGGCACACAGAAAGCTTTCAAGTGTCTAAGGTCTGCTGGTGGTTAAATGAACACTTACCAGCGATGCAGCCGCATATAGGACAGAGGCAGTACAGTGGTTGTCTGTGTCCCTGCGTCAGGACTTGCTTTGATGACTGGTTGTGTGATTCTGGGTGATTTATTTCACCTGAAAAGGCCTTATTGGTCTCACCTGTAAAATACAGACTAAATACAATCTCCAGGGCCCCTTTCACCTCTACTCATCATTTTTGTTCAGTAATGATGCCTTGAAGTCTTGAAGATTTTAATTAAGAATGGGACTAGCGACTTCCAAATGGAAAGAGAGAGTAGGATATAGGCTGAACAGCGATGCAGTAGCTGCTCTGCTCCTTCCAGGGCCTGGCTGAGCTGTGGGTGGTGTGGGTTGGAGACTGGACTCTGCATTGCATTTTTAAAAATTGATCTTAGAGAAAGAGAGAAAGAGGAAGGGGGAGAGAAAAAAGAGGGAGAGAAAAGAGGGAGAAAGAGAGAGAGAGAGAGAGAGAGAGAGAGAGAAGCATTGATTTGTTGGTCCACTTATTTATGCACTCATTGGTTGACTCTTGTATGTGCCCTGATGGGAGATTGAATCCGCAATCTTGATGTATTGGGACGACGCTCTAACCAACTAAGCTACCTGGCCAGGGCCAGGATTCTGCATTCTAAATACAACCCAGCTGGGCTTGTGCCTCAGTCTAGATTTTAGAGTGATTTGCCTTATTTTGTTGTTTGGAGACATTCTAATTCTGGAGGGGTCACTGGCCTCTGCTTATTTCAACCTTAAAGTTAGAGCTTAAGTAACAATTACAGTGGCTTCTCAATTTTCTTTTACTCTCGATTCAGGGAGCAGTTTTTCTCTATTGTCCTCCAGATCTTCCTTTTCCTATGGCAATCTCAAAGATTCTTCCCCCAAAACAAATGCAAAGCCCTATGTACCCTCTTTTCTTCCCTGGAGGTATGGGTTCTACAAAGGGTTTTGCTCGGTAACCCGGTAAACGTTAGCCCATTAGCTGAGCCTTTTTTTTTTTTTCTCCTTCCTCTTAAGCCCATTGCATAACAATCTCCTGTTTTAGCCTTTTGCCAAATTCTACACTCCTCACTGTCTGAGGTTACGAGTGTTTGAATAGGTAACTTCTACCTTTGAACTTCTGTTGCAATAGGTTCAAAGTTTCCAGGGAAACTTGTTGGCCACTCGCAGAACTGTACGCATCGGCTTCAGGTGTGGCCCCATCCCGGGAGCTGTGGCAAAGGCAGAGGTGCCTGACAGTGGTGCTGAGCCCATACAGTCTGCGGTGAGGGGCGCATTTCCTGTGCCCAGGAAGGGAGAGGATCCTCACCAGGTAAGCCTCAGGAACTGTCTGCTCTCGAGGGTGTGTGTCTAGGGTGTGTGTCTCCGGGAGAGCAGGGATGGAGTAGGTGGAGGGAGGAAAGTAGGACATGTGTCCTTTCTCAACCTAAGGCTCTTTCAACCTGAGGTTACATTTGGTTGAGTAGTACTCTCAGCTGACATCTGTGGGAGGCACAAGAAAGAAAATCCACTGGAAACCAGGTGGACACATCGGAGCCACCTGAATGGGCACAGGGCATGGACTTGGAAGAGAAAGTTGTTCATTTTACTAAATATAGCCAAAACAGACTTAAAGCCTCTAAGGATTATAGACAAAGGCAGGAGGTGGTTCTCCTTCCCCTTCCATTCAGAAATTTCTGTGTCAAAATGGTTAGAAAGGCAGTCATTTATCAGCTGTCAATGGCAGCGACTCCCCTTGGGAAGAAAGGAGAGCCTTAGCAGACACTCTGTTAGGTGCTGGGGTCTCTACCAGGTGTGCGACTCGTGTTACCTCATCGGCTCCCCACCTCCTAGGAGGTAGGTGGCATCGCATTGTATAAATAAATAATGCGCCTCGGGGCTTGAACAGCACGGCCTGGCCCCCAGAGCTGAGCTGCTGTGGCTGGGGTTTGAGTCATGATCAGGGTGTCACTGCAGGCTGCCACATGATGCAGAATTCTCGTGGATTGCCATCCCTTCTGTTATTCTTTCTGGTCTGGGGCTGTCACTCATGTGCATAGAGGAGTGACTAGGAGTACCGATCTGCTAGAATTTGAGAAGGACCCAGAGTCTTCCGAACTTGAGCATTCAGTTCTGGAGGAAACCAGTCTAAAAAGAGAAAGGCCTGTCCTGTCCCTGCCCTGAGCTCTTCACCTGGTTGGTAGCGGAAGACAGCAGCACCCAGGAAAGAGCCCGTAGCGTTCGAGCGGCTGCGACTCCACACCGTTCTGCTCTCCTCGCTGGCTCTCTGCTGGGGAAACTTCCTCTCGGGGGGCTGAGCTGCTGAAACAAAGCCAGGCTGGTGCTCCTCCAGCCATGAGATGCCCCAGAAGATGGAATGACAGGGGCGACCCTACTTCATCCTTCTCCCGTGTCTGAGGTGGGCTCCGTGAGGCCAAGGAACCAAATCGCTTTCTCTTAGATTGTGGCCCAGCACACCCTGGCTATTTGGGTTCTGGAGAGAAATCCAAGCTAGCTCTAGTGCAAGGCTGCCTGGGAAGGTACTGCGTGCTGCCTGATGTTGCCGAGGGGGGAGGAAGGAACGGGGGCAGGTAGGGACAGGAAGTTCCTTATTTCTGCTTCTAAATCAAAGAATGGAAGCCCCCCCCCCCCCCCCGCCCTTCTGTGGCCACAGCCTTAGGTGAATCCAGTGAGACCAGTACAGATCCTAACACCTCACAACCCTACAACCCCACAACCCTTGCAGGGGGTCTGAACATTCAAAACAATTTTGTGACAATACTAAGCGATTGCCTTCTGCGCCGTCACTGTCCTGTGCGTGTGTGGTGGACTCTTCCAGAAGCTCCGGGACAGGGGATCTGACAGCTCGCGGCACACGTGTCTGTGTCCTCCTGTGAGTTAGTTTTTCCAGGTTTAGCCTGGGAGGTGAGGGAAGCAGCAGATGGACGTTTAAGTTAAAGCCTGTCCCTGTCCCTGTCCTTCCTGACCTGATCGTTTTTGTTGGCTTTATCAGAACTGCCTTGGGGCCCGAGGCAGGTATGTTGGGGACTAGAGGGAGGGTGACCCCCGTGGGAGCCCTGTGAGGGCTGAGGCACCTCTGGCTGGACTGTCCTGCTCTGCGGCTCCAGCAGGGAGCAGCGTCACTCCTGTGACACGGGTGGTCTGCGGGGCCCCTCCTGTCACCTTTGTGTGTGTGTGTTCTGCTCCTGTGCCGGGGTAGTGCAGGAGGAAGGGGTCAGCAGGGGGGTGTGGGCCGGCTGGAGTGTCAGCCTCGGGACTGGGCTACAGCATTTGAAACGGAGCCAGGGGAGCCGTGTGCTTTCTTCCTCCTGGTCAGACGCTTCCACTTTCAGTTGTGAGAGAACAACCAGGAAGTGAGGGCCCCGAGCACGGCCGCCCGGCCACGCCCCGCGCAGGGCCCACGGCAGAACCGGGCCGGAGCCGTGGCCGTGCCCTGCGGGGAGCTTCCAGAGCCACGCTGTCCCTGGAGCATGCAGGGCTGAGGGAAGCCGAGCAGGGCCCCTGTGCCAGGAAGGACTGGGAGCCAGGAAGCCCCTTTCACCGGGACCACCACGAGATGCGGCCCCCCTCCCAGGGTAAGGGGGCGTGCCCAGGGGCTCAGCAAGGGGTCTTGTGAGTGGGGGGCAGAGGCCAAGAAGGGTTCCTGACGCCCAGACTCAGTGAATCTGGAGCCGGCCCTGTCCCAGGCACGTGGCAGCGCTCTCTGTCCCCGGTCACTGGGGGACACCTGGAGATGCTCCTTACGAGGAGGCCGGAGGGGAAGGAGGACGCGGGCCATGGGTCAGGCTTTCTTCTCCGGCCCCTCTCCAGGGAGGGGAGCAACCCCGAGACCTGGTTCTCTGGGCCTGAGCATCTGCCGTACTCCTGTGCAGGCTGGGATGGGTAAGAGCTGATGGCCCACGGACGATGGATTGGTTCGCAGGCAGCTGGATCTGTGTTAAGGGCGAGGGCCAACAGTGGGATGTAAGATGAACTTGGAGGACGTTCAAGGAGCGAGCCGTAGGAAGGGCCTCCACAGTTGGTGCTTACTAGCTTCTGGGGGTAGCAGTCTTTTTGGTGGTTTGAAAAGTAGGATTGAATCTGTAGCTCTAACATGTCAGTGATTGGTGGTCTCTCACAGAGGCAGAGTCTTTTTTTTTTTTTTTTTTTTTTTGGTATGTGCCCCTAGCAGGAACCAAACCTGGGAGTCTCTGGTCCGCAGGTGGATGCTCCAATCGCTGAGCCAAATTGGTCAGGGCCAGAGTCTTAAAATAATTAAATTAAACTTAATTGTTTTAATTATATTTATTTATTTATTTTTGTTATAGGTGTTTCTCCTTTCTCCCCCATTGATACCCTTCTCCTGATCCCCTCCACCCCTAACCCTGGCATTGTTGTCTGTGTCCACTGATTATGCATATATGCATATAAGTTCTTTGGTTTATCTCTTCCCTCCCCCTTCCGCCCCCCCCTCTTCTGAGGTTTGTCAGTCTGTACCCTACTTCTATGTCTCTCTGTCTATTTTGTTCATCAGCTTATTTTGTTCATTACATTCCACAAATAAGTGAGATCATGTGATATTTGTCTTTCTCTGATTGGCTTATTTCACTTAGCATAATACTCTCCAGGTCCCTCCATGTCATCTCAAAGGATAAGAGATCTTTCTTTCTTACAGCTGCATAGTACTCCATTGTATAAATGTATCACAGCTTTTTTATCCACTCGTCTACTGATGGACACTTGGGCAGTTTCCAAATCTTAGCAATTATAAATAGTGCTGCTATGAACATAGGGGTACATTTATTCTTTCTGATTGGTGTTTCAAACTTCTAGGATATATTCCTAGAAGTGGGATCACTGGGTCAAACAGCAGATCAATTTTTAATTTTTTAAGGAAACACTATTTTTTTTTCCATAGTGGCTGCACCAGTCTGCATTCCCATCTGCAGTGTACTAGAGTCCCCTTTTAATTTTAAAAGTAAAAGATTGCTTTAGTAAAAGAAAAAAGGAAGAAAAAAAGAGTAATTGGTTTTGCTTGATCCTTTTCACTATACTCCAGCATGGGAGTTATGCTGTAATGGTTCCCTCTAATTAGCCAGTATTTGAGAGAAACATAGACTAATCTTGGAAAAGGCATGGCATAAAATTTTGTAGGTATCACCTGTGTGCTTGACACAATGAAAGGAAAAAAAACTAAATAAAACAAGAGTCACAGATGCTTATAGGACAGGCAGATAATGTAGATAAGTAGAGACAATGGTCCACAGTAAGACATAGGTTGTGGGGACTCTGGCAAAAGGCAAAGACACATTTCAATTTCAATTTTTTTTTTTTTTAACAAACATTATGCAGACCAAACAGAATGTTTACTCCAGGCATTTGACTTAGATCCTAACCTAAAATAGTCATCTCTTCCAGACTATATTCTAACCCTTTGAGGACAAAATCACCTGCAGTAAAATCCGTGTGTTATTGAGTTCCTAAGTGCTAACTATACAGGGGGCCACAGATTCTACAGGGAGGCCAGGGGACAGGGAAAGAGAGAGAGTCAGGGAATGAATGGGCAGAGGGAAGAGGAAGCCAATTAAGCACCAGTTTATAGTAGATACACTTACATTGTACTTTTTTTTTTAAATCCTCACCAGAGGAAAGAGAGAGAAACATCAATGTGAGAGTGAAACATTGATTGGTTGCCTTCTGCATACACCCTGACTGGGGATCAAACCTGCAACCCAGGTGTGTGCCCTGACCTGGAGTCAAACCCACAACCTTTTTGGTGCAAGGACGACACTCCAACCAACTGAGCTACCCAGCTGGGGCAATACACTTCCATCTAATTAAGACAATCTTATGAGGTGGTTGAGAGCGTAGGCTCAGAGAGGTATGGCAATTTTCCCAAGGTCACAAAGCAGCCAGTTGTCAAATGAGGATGGAAGCCGATGCTAAAACCATGCTCCTTCGACTCATGTGTAGAGTTGGCCTTTCTTCAGATTTCCTAGAAAATTGTATTTGTAATACGATTTTCAAGTATAGAGACCTGGGCAGTTATCGAGTTCACATATCCATAAGATATTTTTCAGGTTGACATTTTTCTAGAACTGCAATTATTATAGGTGTTATTCATTGAATATATTCTAGGGGGGCAGCAGTGCTGTCCTGTTTTATGGGGCTTTTCTCTTTTGCTATTTAAAATAGTCTTGTGAGGGGGGCACTTTGTTTTTTACCTAGAGAAACTGAGATTTGGAAAGAAAGTAAAAACTGGACACAGTAAAAGAGATTGGAGCTGGAATTTGAACTCTGACTCATTTAGCTTCAAAGGCAAGCTATTCCTTG